TGTTACGTCCATGATACCCACCATGCGTTGCCATTCCTGAGAACTCGGGTGTTATTCCTCTGTACCCAGTAAATTTACTGCCATACCTCACCCTTCAAACTGAAACACAGTCATGCGAACACAACTGCTTCACGGTTAAAACACGAATGGGACAGAGGTAGCCAAGCAGACGAATTTTGTACAATCTCCCTTTGGTTCTAAGTTGTGCTCCCAGATGCTCGTTGCTTAGTTCCTCTTCTTCACAAAACAGGGTTTTTTTATTGGTTAAAATGGCATAGTAACCCCGCCTGCGCTAACGGTATATGCTGGCGGAGCACCAGTGAAGGATGATAGGTGAGGATGAAAATAGGTCATTTAGCCCATCGTGATGAATTCAGCAAGACTTAATCACAATGGTTTCCAGGAGGAACCGCGTGGGATTCGATCTGACATTGTTAGCCACATAGCCTTACATTGTTAGTCAATTCGAGATAGGTGGAGCTTTTATCGGGGTTCCCTTCCATGCGACACTTCCTAAACCAGCGGGCCAACATGTCGGCCAAGGGGGAAAGGGATTGTTAGTAATGGAGACTGAGAATCCCATTGCTAGCAATATACCCAGCCAGGTCGACCTCCTCGCGGTTCCCCCTGGAAACTATCATGGTTAATTCCTGATGAATTCATCATGATGGGCTAACTGGCCTGTTTTCATTCTCATCGATCACCCTTCACTGGTGCTCTGCCAGCGTATACCGTTAGCGCAGGCGGGGTTACCATTTTATTTTCGCCCATCAAAAAAAAAACATGTCGGCCACCCCCCTGCAGTCTAATGAAGTGGCAATATTATTTATGGTTTATTAATTTTTTAAAATACTGTAATGATTTTATTATTATTAATCGAATGAATAATTGATGTAACGTTAAGTATAACTTGTACCTAGCCAATAACGAATTTGCATGCTTTAGTTTTTTTTTTTAATGGATGATAATAGAATGGTAACCCGAACTATTGGTATACACCGGCGGGGTACCAGTGAAAGATGATAGGTGAGGATGAAGTAGGTCAGTTAGCCCATCGTGACGAATTCAACAAGAATTGTTCACGATGGTTTCCAGGGGGAACCATGTGGAGGTCGACCTAATAAAGCATATTGCTAGCAATGGAGCTGTTAAACTCCATTGCTAACAATCCCTTTCCCTCCTGCATGCTTTAGTTAGACTATAAGGCGAACATTTGTACTTCACAATAAATCAATATCTGTAAAAAACAATGTTCTGGCAAATAAATAAATCTATCTATCTTGTTCAATCAATTAGGTCTTATCTATGCCCGCTAGATGGTGTGTACGGGCGAGGTATGGGGCCTCGGGGCGTACCCCTTTGCCACGGCTTCAACTCCGGAGGCAACTACCTCCGGGTCACGAGGTTTTAAACCGACATACACGGATGGTCTGTGTATCGGCATGGCGTTTTGCTTTCTTCGTCTTGTTAAAGAAGCTGCTGGCTTCTCTTCTCTCTTGTGTATATAGTTTTTTTTTTAATTTTTTTTTTCTATCTTGTTGAAATTATTTAAATATGTATGCGCCTCTATGTGCGACGCTGTGCTATTAGCTGTCAGTTGTCTGTAACGCGTTCCGTGTCACGCGGTAAGCGGCGCGCTGATCGTTGATTGCGACGCCATGTTTGTTGCTGGAGTTGGCGGGAAAGTGTTTTATGATGCCAACAATATCCTTTTGACATAAACCTTCCTCTTGAATCACACTTTAAAAAAAAAACAGCATCAAAATCCGTTTAGCGTAGTTATAAAGATCTAAGCATATATAGGGACGGACAGACGGGAAGCTACTTTGTTTTATACTATGTAGTGATTAAAGTGGAGAAAATTAGCTGAAGGGATCGAATTAGCAATGAGGAGGTCCTGTTTAGGGTTAAGGAAAAAAGACAAATTATTAGAACTATTGAGGACAAAAGGGGAAAAATGTTGGGACACTTGATACGACACGTGGAACTTATGAACGTTATAATAGAAGGTAAGATAGAAAGGAGGGGAAGAGGGAGACCGAGACATAGTTACATCAGGCAGATCAAGGAAGGAGTTGCTGAGGTCCATTTTTGACGCATCAGTAAAAGTCATCTAGTATTTTATTTATTTATTTATTTGTGTAGGCTTTTGTACATTCACTTAGTCTGCCTTAGTACAAAAATGTAGTAAGGCAGATTTATTCTTTAATCAATTTGAGAACCTTGAGAAAGAGAGGGAGAGAGAAAGAGAAGTATTTTATTACTTTAATGTTGACACGACTTCACTTGACACTTTTGCCAGAGGCAGACTTTGTACAAAAGTCGTTTGCTTGGGCACCTCTGCCCCATTCCGGCAGGCGAAGACCGCGCAGAGTGAACGGGACGGCACGCTAAGAATCAGTTGCTCAACGAAGTTCAACCCAAGGACCCGCTTATATTGATGGGCGGCGGACTGACACCACCTGAGAGGGGTAAAAAGCCCCGGACAGGTTTCCCCGGCTCTCCCCTAGGGGAAAGCTTGAGAAGACGAGTGTACCGCTGTCCCATTCGTGTTTCTACCGTGAAGCAGTTGTGTTTGCATGGCTGTGTTTCGGTTTGAAGGGTGGGATATGGCAGTGAATTTACAGGGTACAGAGGAATAACACCTGAGGCATAATGGCAACGCATGGGGAGTATCATGGGCGAAACAGTATACTCTGTTATGTCCACGGTACTGCTCATGTCTATAGGCGCCGGTTACCACTTTCCAACAGGTGGACCGTCAGCTTGTTTGCCATTCTAAGTTGTATAAAAAAAAAAAAAAAGAAACTAGATGGACGACATTTGTTTATTTTCGTAATATTTGATTTGAACTTTAAAGTTAATTATAAAAAATTAAAATTTAATTGTATTTATTTATAATTTCACTCACATTAGGGCGGACTTAATGCCTGATGGCATTCTCTACCAGTCAATCATTGCATGTGTTGTTAAAAGCGAAACTTGAGAGTAACTGGTCCAATTCGGCCATCAATTCGAGAAGATATAAAGAAGGTAGGTATCTTTTTTTAATGATAATGGAATGGTAACCCCGCCTGCGCTAACGGGATACGCTGGCGGGGCACCAGTGAGGGATGATAGGTGAGGATGAAGCAAGTCAGGTGACTCGTCACTCATTAAAAATGAAATTTTAGTCTATGGGACAAACTAACTAACGATGCTAGATTTACAGGGTACAGAGGAATAACACCTGAATCCTCAGGAATGGCGACGCATGGGGGTATCATGGGCGAAACAGTATACTCTGTTATGTCCATGGTACTGCTCATGTCTATAGGCGACGGTTACCACTTACCATCAGGTGGGCCGTTGGCTTGTTTGCCATTCTAAGTTGTGTAAAAAAAGACAAAAAAAAAGCTAAAATTAATAAAAAATAAATTTATATATAAAATAAGTTTGTATCACCTACCTATTCGACGTCAACATTGCAAATAAATTATTTGTTTTTTTTTTATTTACAATTTAATCGACAAATAACAACAATAAGTAAATATTTATACGAAAATTCCAATAGCGTTTGCGTACAGAATAAAGAGCCCTCCGTCCGCGCTAATGACACTCCATTAATTATTTAGGAACGGTGTTGCCACATTAAAATTAATTTTTATTTCTCCCAACAGAATTTACAAATTTACACAAAAAATGTCTATTGTATTGTTTTGTCTATTGTAGCTAATTTTATTAATTATAAATTTATTTATTAAAAACAAGAAATTTACAACAGCGAGTACATTGGAGCCCGCACTAGGCGAATCTGTATCGCGGGAGTCCATATGAGATTACCAAGACACAGTGATTTACAAATATAAATTAAATTAAATTAGTGAGCCGGTTTTACGAAAACAACAAGTTAGAATGAAGTGCTTCGTGAAGACATGCGCATAAAACAGAAAATTCTATTTTACCAGAGGCAGACTTTATACAAAAGTCGTTTGCTTCGGCACCTCTGTCCCATTCGTGTTTCTACCGTGAAGCAATTGTGTTTGCATGGCTGTATTTCGGTTTGAAGGGTGGGATATGGCGTGAATTTACTGGGTACAGAGGAATAACATCTGAGTCCTCAGGAATGGCAACGCATGGGGGATATCATGGGCGTAACAATATACTCTGTTATGTCGATGGTACTGCTCATGTCTATAGGCGACGGTTACCACTTTCCATCAGGTGGGCCGTCAGCTTGTTTGCCATTCTAAGTTGAATAAATAAAAAACGATGAAATATACCACTGAAATTACAGGGTACGGAGGCACTACACCACAGTCCTCAAGAATGACAATATATGAGCGGTACCATGCCTTCTGTGATATCCATCGTGTTTTTCATGAATTTTTTTTATACCACTCAGGTAGCAATCAAGCATACGGCCCACCTGATGGTAAGCGGTTACCGTAGCCTATGAACGCCTGCAATACGCGCGCGTTGCCGACCCTGAAGAAACCTCTTTACCCCCCTTTTGAAGAACCCCATGCTGTAGTCTCTTGGGAAAACCTCGGCAGGGAGCTCATTCCATAACCTGAGTGTTCGTGGGAGAAAACATCTTTGAAACCGCGTTGTACGCGACCATTTTGGCTGTCTATCTATCTATCTATCCATTTAAGAGCTGCGCTCTTGTCGGTGGAGCTCTTGCCACTCACTACGATTTTCAGCGAGTCTCTTCACCTCTTGATACGACACGACACCAACTCCTTCCTTGAACTGCCTGATGTAACTATGTCTCGGTCTCCCTCTCCCCCTTCTTCTTTCTATTTTAGCTGTAAGGAATATAAATTATGGTTACTACTTTCTATCGAGTGTCAACCCGCCATTCCGAGTTTCGTAACAATTATTTTAAAAAATGTTACAATAAGTGTAATTTCTTAACACAGCTGGCAACCCTAAAGAGGCATAGAGCTTGCACCCTATTTCATAAGCGCGGTAAGTTACGGAGTGTTGCGGGGCGTGGTGTAAGCAGGCGACCAATAGGCAACGCGGACGTTACCTAACAATCACACAGCAACCAATCACAATGCGACAGTTCATATTACACAAGTGTAAAAGCTACGGAATGCGTAACAGCGTAACAGCTTAGCAGTCTCGCGGCGGGAAATGGAGCGATCCGTTCGAAATTCAAGTGTGAATTTTTAATTTTCCTGCATATTGACTCTATGGTCAAAGTGGTAAAAAAGTTGTGATTAAAAAAATAAATGTGTGATCGTAAACGTTTTAAAATAAAACAGCACTCTGCTATATATATATATATAGAAAAAAAAAAAAAAAACAATAAAATAAAGGAAACAGATTCAGGCAATTTTTCTGTGTGAAGTCTCCGCTGGCTTCTTTTATAAAATACTAACATAAATTAATAATAAAAAAAATATCGAAGTAAGCACTAAGTTATGTGAAATCAATTTAGAATTTAAAATTTAAAAACATACGATAAAACTAAATATAAGTAGATACAATATCTTTTTAAAACTATATCTCGATTTTGCACACTGGTTTTCTATCAAAGACAAAATATCTAAATTAATTGTTATAAAATATTAGTATTGTCTCTGGTTGAACAAATATTTAATAACAACAAATACTACATATTACTATACTGTGACACCTATAACTCTTCATTAATAGTTGAGAAGCAGTGGATCTTGACTTTTGAAGACGAGAAAAGCCTTTCGAAATTGTTGTAGAATCGTGACAAGAAAAAATTATATTATTAATTTATTTATTTATTGTACCACTTAAAAATAATACAAAACTTATATATATATATATATATATATATATATATATATATATATATATATATATATATATATATATATATATATATATATATATACATAGGAAGTACAAAAGACGGTCTTATCGCTAAATCAATCTATTCCATACAACCTTTGGTTAGAGGAGAAGAGAAAAAGACGGTAGCTATTTGGCGCCATAAGTATATCTAATAAAAAAAAATGCATGTTAAAAAAAACATATGCAAATAATCATATAACTATCATGATTCCAGACAAATTATCATACTAAAGACTAGGCAGCATTTTTTTTTATACAACTTAGAATGGCAAACAAGCTGACGGCCCACCTGATGGAAAGTGGTAACCGTCGCCTATACACATGAGCAGTACCATGCACATAATAGAGTATACTGTTTCGCCCATGATATCCCCCATGCGTTGCCATTCCTGAGGACTCAGGTGTTATTCCTGTGTACTCTGTAAATTCTCCGACCTTAGCCTGTTCCATAACGGAACAAACGTACTAAAAAAAAATTAATACCATGCATACATCTATTTATAAAAATTGTAAAAATAATACACCCAGCATCGAATAGGCCACCCGTTCCTTTCCCGTGGGTGTCGTAAGTGTCGACTAAGGGAGGGCGAGGGATGGGCAGCAGCGTCCCTCTTAAAACATCATCAAAGCCTAACTGCGGTTGCCAATGCGTCTGCCAAGCGTGGCAATTACTGGTAAAACCCCCAAGGGGAGGCCTATGTCCAGCAGTGGACAGTTAACGACTTATACATGTATATACTTCTTGTAAGACCCATTTTTTTCGAAACTCTTTCACGCTTCGTGCTGCGCAACTGTGGAACAGGCTACCTGCTGACGTACAGGATAGTCCTTCCATTACTTCCTTCAAGAGAAGACTGAAATCACACCTTTTAATCAATTGTACATGATTCTATGCACTTATACATATGTATATATATTTATCTATTTCCTTATTTACGTATTTATTTATTTATTTATTCACAATTTGTGTTTGTTTGTCGTATTTACATTATTTTCACCGGTACCTTTCCTGCACTAGATTACCCGCCAATTAATTATTTTCTCTCTAACTACACTGGGTTGGCTGGAAGAGATCTCTTTCAGAGATAAGCCCTCCCTTGCTAACAAGTTGGTTAACTAATCTTCGCATATATTGTTTAAGTGCAATAAAGAATACGTATATAATAAAGAAATATTAAAAAAAAAAAATTATATGACTTGTTAAGTAAAGAAAAGTTTTTAATGTTAAACAATTCCTGAAATAAACGCGTCTTAGCCCGCGTCATATTCTGTTATTCGGTGAATTTTGTTGCGAAATTATTTTAAAATTGTATATATATTCTTTATTGCACTTGTAAGTTACACATAAAATAATGTATTTATAAATGATGCTGCATGAGCAGTACCATGGACATAACAGAGTGTACTATTTCGCCCATGATACCCCCCATGCGTTGCCATTCCTGAGGACTCAGGTGTTATTCCTCTGTACCCTGTAAAAAGTTTGAATTTAACACAAAAATCCCCATTAACAAAAAAGATCCGCCATTTATTGTTTCATAATTCATTTGTTACAAAAAATGTGATAAATGAAGAACCGCTCGAGCGATTTTGTGCAAACTTCACATAAACCATCTACTAAATAGTGCGAACAAAGAAACATTTGGTTTGGATAGGTGAGCCCGTTCTTGAGTTATAAAATTACAACGAAAAGTGGCATTAATTGTTATATATATATATATATATATATATATATATATATATATATATATATATATATATATATATATATATATATATATAGATTATATGTTTATCTTTGAAGATTGACTCGCTATGACCTTTTTTTACAGTAATCAAATTTGTTCCAAATGACTCATAATGCATTATTGTTAATTTATTTGTCAAAGAGTTTTATCGACATAATACATAATAGATATTAATTTTCATCCAAATAAATGTGCGAGTGTTCTATTGTGAACAAAATTGTTATTTGGATCGATCGGTGGATCGATCGGTCGATCGATCGGTGGATCGATCTGTGGATCGATCTAAATGTTTGTATATATTGTGATTGCTAAGGAAGCAAATTGGGAAACTGTTAAGCTTCATTGGTTGGTAAATATTATATTATATTTACCAATTTATTTATTATAAATAAAAAAATAATAAATAAATGAATAAATAAATTAATTAATTAAAAAGTAATTTTACGAAATTATCAAATTAAAATTATGGTTTAAGGGATAAATTAACAGAAATGCCGCCCCAGAATCGGTTTCATTATATAACGGCATAAATGAACTATAAATAATATAACATATAAATAAATAAATAAATAAACAATAAAAAGAAAATGGACCAAACAGTATTCCGGTACGACGCGGACGGATGTGTTTCACAGCAGAGCCGCAGTGGGGCGCTAGCTGCGCTGACACTGCTGACCAGCTACAACCAGCTTCTGGCGCCACCTGGTGAGTACTTATGTGATGTTTTGTACCATTCATGTATATTGAAATTTTCGGTTACTAACTCCCCACGATCAAGCAATTCATGATGATAGATTATTAGTAATGCGGACTACGAGACTCATTGCTAGCAATATACCCTGTCAGATGTCCCATTCTTTAAAGCAAATTGCTACACTTCAAAAAGTACAAAAATTACGAACATAATTACAATCCTTAATCTATGCTTTTAATTTATTACAGGTACAATTCTTAATCTATGACATTTAATTGTTATAAAAAACATAAAAAGTTTTATGCCAGTTACAAATTTTGTTGTTCCATTATAATACAACCGTATGGTCTTTGCCTATCACCTTAAAAAAAGTGTAAGTTTTTAACTAAGAACAAGGAATTACATAGAAGGAATGGCGAAATAAAAACTGTAAATACTGCTATGAATGCCTATGAAATTCTATGTATGTATATATGAATGTCTATGAAAGCCTGCTATGAATTGACAAAAATAGCAACTGATAGTGTATCTTTCGTACTCTTTTTACTTATTATATTTAAACGAGAAGAAAGGAGACTTTGTACAAAAGTCGATTGCTTGGGTACCTCTCTCCCATTTGTGTTTCTACCGTGGAACAGTTGTGTGTTGCATAGCTGTGTTTCGGTTTGAAGGGTGGGATATGGCGTGAATTTACAGGGTACAGAGGAATAACACCTGAGTCCTCAGGAATGGCAACGCATAGGGGGTATTATGGGCGAAACAGTATACTCTGTTATGTCCATGGTACTGCTCATGTCTATGTGGCGAAGGTTACCACTTTCCATCAGGTGGGCCGTCAGCTTGTTTGCCATTCTAAGTTGTATAAAAACAAATAAGAGGCAACAATATGATTTACAGTTTTTATTTTATCATTCCTTCTATGTAATTCCTTGTTCTTATGTTTTTAATAATATCAAAAGCAACACTTTTTTAAACAATGTTTAATCTACATCCTCGCTATAGAACCAGTCACCTGTCGGCCACAAACATCACTCGTTTGTACCAACGCGCCAACATCTGGTTATTCCCAGCATTAGTAATTATTGTTCATTTTATGCAAAACGGTATAGTGCCCATATTCCGAATCCCATTCATGCAAACATAATTGGAATCAGTAAATCACAGAATTACACTAGAATAGAATAGAATAGAAACATTTATTGCCAGTAAACTTACAATATAAAACATAAATAACATATACAAAAAGTGTCCCACACCCGGCAAAAGGAACCGGCTCAGCGGATGCTGCGAGTGTCCCAGCGCAATGTGAACAGCTGCACAGCGCTGGTTTTCAGCCAGTCCCTCTCTTAACAAAACAACCAAAGTGCAGTATCTCGTATCAGTGGCGTAACTATACCATTTGGGGCCTGTAGCAAATTCTTTTGATGGGGCCCTATCAGTAAAAAAATGCTTTTCAAGTAAAGTACTCAGGTACAATGTAAAAGAAATATTATGAGCTCGCGACCTCTTCAGCCGGGTTCCTTTTGGGTCGAGGGCCCGTGGCATTTTGCCAGCCCTGCCACCCTATCGTTACGCCACTGTCTCGTATCCTATCTCTTTAATTTACCTTGATGCTTATTACGTGCTTTAGAGTAACTCTAATGGTCATAGTATAGTCATTCTCTGGTTTAAAACCATAGAATGACTATACTATACAAGATATATTTGCCATGTAATCCAGGTATAGAATAGGCCACTTTCCCGTAAGTGTCGCAAGAGGCGACTAAGAGAACTTAATGGTAGCCAATGGTAGTAAAAAAAAATTAATTAAAAGCCTCGCAACATACAGTGACACCTTAAGCAAAATCAACAAAAGTGTTAGATATTTAGAAGAGAGAACGAGAACGCGTACAAAAGACCTACACGCGAGGACTACGTGAATCAGGTTTGTCCTTTACCCTTCTTTTTATCCAACTGCGGTTGCCAATCCGCCTGCCAAACGTGACAGCTACTGGCAAAACGCCGTTTTATGGGAGAGGCCTCAATTCAATAATGGACAATTAATTAAATTATAATTAATTAATTAATACATATTTACTAGCTGACTCAGTAAACGTTGTTTTACCATATACATTATTTCTAGAACTATACATGAAAATATATCCTACTACAATTGTTATATTCGATTGCCATCTTGCAACCCTATTGCGGAATATAAAAATCGCAATTAAAAAACAGGCGTTGATCGTAAAACGGTGAAAATTTGAGGTTGTATGTATTTTTCAGTGCTAAATTATAATAAAATAAAAATAAAAAAAATTGTCAAAAAAATTAAAAAACAATTTTAGAGGTGGGTCACCCTTATCATTGTGGGGTATGAAAAATAGATGTTGGCCGATTCTCAGACCTACCCGATATGCACACAAAATTTCATAAAAATCGGTAAAGCCGTTTCGGAGGAGTTTGGTACAAACACCGCGACACGAGAATTTTATATATTAGATATATGTATTTTTTTTTATATTTATTTTTTATCTATTAAACTTACATAATAATATATCACGGAAAATATATATAAATATAGTTTGTATGTATAAATTTTCTCTGATTTAATATTCGAAAAAGGAATATTTATACAATTTTGTTTATAATAAAAAATGTGGCAATAGGCTGGTTACATAGCTCGAAGAACCGTCAACCGATAGGGAAGAAAGGTTCTTGAGTGAGTTCAAACACCGTGACACGGGAATTTTATATGTTAGATATATTATTATAATATTATTTATTTATTTAGTTATTGCACAATAAAACTTTGTACAAGTGGCGAGCTCGATGCCATACGGCATTCTCTATGAGCTAACCATTAGGTAAGAACAGAAAGCGTATGAAGGGCAGATATATATATATATATATATATATATATATATATATATATATATATATATATATATATATATATATATATATATATATATATATATATATATATAAAACGATAAAACAAATAATTGAAAAACCTTTTAAAAATAAGCTTAAATGAGTGCTCTATGTAGAACTACAAAGATTTTATTTCATATGATGATGATGATGATGATGAAGAAAAAGCTGGTAAAAGACGGTACAAGTAAAACAACGTTTCTTTTTTTAATGGGTGAAAATGGAATGGTAACCCCGCCCGCGCTATCGGTATACACCGGCGGGGCACCAGTGGAAGATGATAGGTAAGAATGAATACAGGTCAGTTGGACCACCATGGTGAATTCGACAAAAAATAACAATGATGGTTTCCAGGGGGAACCGCGTGGAGGTCGACCTGACATTTCTTGATATTGCTTGCAAAGGGGCTATTAAGTCTAATTACTAACAATCCCTTTCCCCCAGTAAAACAACTTTCCCTGGGTCAATATTTGTTTTTTAATACCGCACATTACTGCATGTGCAGCGTCATCGAACACCCATATACTGCGTCTCAACCATTTCAAATTGGAATAGTGCGTGAACAATGTCAAATCAGGTGGTGCACTTCGCACGGCACCGCGAGGTGGCGCGGGTGTTGCTGGCATAATTCAATAAATAAATTATTAAGTGAAGACAATATTTATGGGGTCGGCGCTTCCATGTATGACCGTTTAACCTGATGGGGATTTTTAAGTATATTTACCCTCTTTTTGAAAACATAAAAACAATTTTTATTCGAATTTTTTTATCAGACTTCCAATGGCAAATCTGATGGAAACGGAATTGACAGAGATTTCTCTTTGTCAATTCCTTTCGGAATTATTAATAATGGTATCTAAAAGCTAGCAATTTTTTTTTATACCACTGAGGTGGCAAACAAGCGTACCGCCCATCTGATGGTAAGTGGTCACCGTAGCCTATGAAAGCCTGCAATACCAGGGGCATTACGCGTTGTCGACTCTGAAGAAACCCCTTTACCACTTTTTTATGAAACCCCATTTCATGACCTGAGCGTTCGTAGGAGAAAACGTCTCTGAAATCGCGCTGTACGCGACCATATAGGCTTTAAGGTATGGAGGTGAACTCCCTGTCGATGGCGAGCTGCACGGTAGTACAAAGTGGCTGTAAGCATCATATTGAACAATTCCTCAGAGCACAGTCCGTTATTCTTTTTTTTCTTTAATAGGTGATAATGGGATGGTAACCTCGCCCTCGCTATCGGTATACACTGGCGGGGCACCAGTGGAGGGTGATAGGTGAGGATGAAGCCCATAATGACGAATTCAACAAGAATTGTTCACGATGATTTCTAGGGAGAACCATGTGGAGGTCGACCTGATAGTGTATATTATCAGCAATGGGGCTGTTAAACTCCATTGCTTACAATCCCTTTCCCCCAACACAGTCCGTTGTACAAGCGGTATAACAAGTAGATTGAGGCAAAATGTCTCCTAAGACTCAAGGCCTGCTTTTATACCATTTATGTATATGGTAAGTCTTGGATAATTACCTCAGCTTTTCGATCTCCCCATGGTTTCCACTTCAACCATCGTGGTTAATTCTTATTAAATTCCTCACAATAGGCCAAGTGACCTACTTTCACCCTTTCCTATCACCATTCACTGTAAATTTATACTATTTATTCTCTGAGTATATACGGTATCAACTGTATGACAATAGAATGGTAACCCCATCTGTGACATCGGTATAGATAAAGGGATGACAGGTAAGTTACCTCATCGTCACGAATTCGCCAGGAAGTAAAGACGATGGTTATATTTTTTATGCAACTTAGAATGGCAAACAAGCTGACATCCCACTTGATAGAAAGTGGTAAACGTCTATAGACATGAGCGGTACCATGGACATAACAGAGTATACTGTTTCGCACATGATACCACCCATGCGTTGCAGGGTCCCATTGCTAGCAATACACCCTATCAGGTCGACCTCTACGTGGTTCTCCCTGAAAACCATCGTGCTGAATTCCAGGTGTATTCATCACGGTGGGCTAACTGACCTATCCTTTTATCCTCACCTATCATCCCTCACTGGTGCTCCGCCAACTTATACTGTTAACGCAGCCGGGGTTACCATTTCATTATCATCCATTGAAAAAAACCCATGCGTTGCCATTCCTGAGGACTCAGGTGTTATTTGTCACCTGTACTCTGTAGCCTGTAAATTCACTGCCATATCTCACTGTTCAAACCGAAACACAGCCATGCAAATAAAACTGCTTCACGGTAGAAACACGAATGGGTTAGAGGTGCTCAAGCAAACGACTTATACAAAGTTTTCTTCTGGTGGGGGGAAAGGGATTGTTAGTAATGGAGACTGAGAATCCCGTTGCTAGCAATATACTCAACCAGGTCGACCTCCTCGCGGTTCTCCCTGGAAACTATCATGGTTAATTCCTGATGAAATCATCATGATGGGCTAACTGGCCTGTTTTCATTCTCATCTATCACCCTTCACTGGTGCTCCGCCAGCGTATCCCGTTAGCGCAGGTGGGGTTACTATACCATTTTTACCCATAAAAAAAGTCTTCTTTTGGTATATTGATAATGAACTACTAGTTCCCATTACTAAAAATTCTATATCCTTTATTTTGTTTATAAAAAAAAAAAGTCAATCATTTTATTTTTTTCATGTTTTACATTAACAATTATTATTGTAAAATGCTTGGCAATAGTAAACTGATTGTAAATTAATCATTAATCTCAGGTAATTACGCAACGACCACAGATTAAACGACATTAAAAACTATCTAATCTATGTAAGATTACAATTATGCATCTGTCAAACAGTTCCTTGACAAATTAGCCGCGTTTCGTTCTCCATTCACCCCATGTTTGTCGATCGTTTAATACAGCGCATCGCGTGTGCCGTCGATTAAGTAGGACCACAGGCCCACCTGCAAGCGATTACACACAACTTGTAATAGCGGGCAATTAGTTAAATCAATATGTACAAAGGGGTGTGAAGGTGGGTGGAAAAATCGTTAAGTGCGAGTCGTAAGTATTTCAAATTTTTAAATAAAACTTTCAATACGAGAAAATATTGTTTATGATACTATCTTAGATTAAAAATTGTCTCCGTCTTTAAAAAAATAGGTCAACTCTTTCATCTATGTGTGCATAAAATAAAGTTCTTTTTTTTTATTGGATGATAATGAAATGGGAAAGATTCTTATCAAGGTTCATCAGGTTTCTGTCAAGGAATCTCGCGGCTGACTTTTGACTTTTGGCCGCAACAGAATTGCTCTTTTGAGGGTAAAGCAATAAACTGAGTTGTGACCATTTTGTGCAACTGTGGCACACGCATGAAATGAAAAACGATGTTACTTCTTTTATGTATTTTATCTTTGTTTTTTTTTTTTGTATATGTATTCTTCTTTGAATATGTACCATTAAGTATATACAAATATTTGATGCAAATAAATTATATATCTAAATGGTAACCCCTAATGGTAATCTAATGGTAATGGTATGGTAAGTGAAGGATGATGGGTGCGAATGAAAAAGCAGGTCAGTTAGCTCACCGTGATAAATACACCTGGAATTCAACACGATGGGTTCCAGGAAGCACCACGTGGAGGTCGACCTGACAGGGTATATTGCTACCAATGGGACCGATAGTTCGCAGCTTGAATAGTGTTACCGTAATATATTTACTACTCAGTGTAAGGGAGAAATTATATTGTACCCAAGGTTAAAATGACCAAATTTTAACGAATACTTATGCTGGTTGTATTAAGACAACGACATAATATAACTGACAGATTTATGAAAGAAAAATCATCTTATGTACTTAATACAAATACTACCGTGAAGCAGTTGTGTGTTGCATGGCTGTGTTTCGGTTTGAAGGGTGGGATATGGCGTGAATTTACTGGGTACAGAAGAATAACACCTGAGTCCTCAGGAATGACAACGCATGGGAGGTATCATGGGCGAAACAGTATACTCTGTTATGTTCGTGGTACTGCTCGTGTCTACAGGCGACGGTTACCACTTTCCATCAGGTGGGCCGTCAGCTTGTTTACTATATGTAGTGTTAGTGACATATTGTATTGTCGTAGATGTGCGCGGCTCCCTGGGCGGGTTGCTGTCTGCATTGCCGCCGCCGTGCCTCGCTGGGTGTTGCCGCACTCACGGCCCTCTCTCCGTGCCCACAGCGCCACGTCTGTATATTTTTTTTTAATAATTGGGTAATGCTTTTTTATTTCATTTCTTTAATGACAATCGGTCGTTATCAATCGACTTTAAAAAGAAGCAAGTTCTAAAACCGATTATATTTTTTTGTGTTTGTTACTGTTTGATCGTCGTCATAGTCGTAGAATACTGACAGATCTGACAAATATTACATATATAGATCCGTCAGTATATTACAGTTATAGTCGCCTATAGACATGAGCAGTACCATGGACATAACAGTATATGTAGTATGTTTCGCCCATGATACCCCCATGCGTTGTCATTCCTGAGGACTCAGGTGTTATACCTCTGTACCCTGTCAATTCACGCCATATTCCACCCTTCAAACCGAAACACAGCTATGCAAACACAACTGCTTCACGGTTGAAACACGAATGGGACAGAGGTACCTAAGCAATCGACTTTTGTACAAAGTCTCCTTCTGGTTTTGTAAGGCAATCTTTTTACGATCATTTCTGCCAGCGTCACCTATAAAAGACTAGTAGGCATAATGAAAACAATGCATATATCTCGCAATAACTATATACATTACAATGATATAAGTAAATTAACGTGCTGAAAAAGGGCCAAATTAAAAGTACCCGTAACCGGCGAGCGTGTATGAAAAGATTGATGAATGTGGAAGAAGCGAAAGAGGTTTGTTTGAATCGAAGCATTTGGCGTTCCATTGTTTCTGCCTACCCTAATGGGAGACAGGCGTGACAGATATGTATGTATATGTAATAATAATTGATGAATGTGGAGGATGCGAAAGAGGTTTGTTTGAATCGAAGCATTTGGCGTTCCATTGTTTCTGCCTACCCTAATGGGAGACAGGCGTAACAGATTTGTATGTAAGTACGTAAATTAACAAACGGCCTATGTTCAGCTGTGGACGGTCATTAACTGACATGATAATGATGAAATTAACAATTACGATAATGTATGGGACTATTTCAGTGCTGAGCCCCGGCTCATGCGAGGGGGAAGTGTACCGCCGCCGCGGCGAGAAGCGTCCCATTCCGGCGGAGCTGAAGGACGAGAAGTACTTCGAGCGACGCCGGCGCAACAACCAAGCCGCTAAGAAGTCACGGGACGCGCGCAGGATGCGCGAAGACCAGGTATTGTGTTGATTGCGCCACATAATTACACCAACCACAGTGTGGTCCCGGCATAGAAAGGAACATTCCTTCCTGTCCTGTGCGCGTGTTAAGTGGCGGCTAAGGGATGGCCGAGGGATGGACAGCAACGTCCCTCTTAAAACACAACTAAAAGCCTAACTGCGGTTGCTAATCCGTATGTCAAGCGTAATAACTTTTGGCAAACCCCCCCCCCCTTTATAAGGGAGGCATATGTTCACCAGTGAACAGTTAACGGCTGATATCATGATGTTGATGAGAAAGACCAATCACCTGGTCTTCGAACTAGGATGCCCTGTGTTCAGGCTGCTAACATCTGCAGCATAACACTAGAACACCGAAGCCTGAGTAAGTTTTATGTCTTCAATTGATCCGACCGGAAATCGAACCAAGGAACTCACTATCAATGCAGTGTGCCTAGCATGTGCCGTAGCGCCACGAAGGTCGTCCAATTTCATTAAACTCTAAACGGACTGTAAAATAACGTCTTAGCTTTTATAGTATTAGATAGAGCTTCGAGTCTCTAAAACGGGTCAACTTTTTGTCATTAGTCATTTATTCAAAAAACAATGTACATTGTATCTGAAATAAGGGATAAACATACAAAAATCATTACATTAACCTGAATATTACAACCATCCAATAAATATAATAATAACAATAAATTATAATAAATAAATTTTAAAATAAACAGTGTCAATTTCATCGTAATATGTCAGTTAATTGTCAAATTAGATGACTCGTCTTTTTTTTTATCAATATTCTATATACTTACGTATAAAATATCTTGAAGTATCATTTAACGAATAAAATAAGTGTTTACGCATTAAAAAGATACAGAAATTATAAGACAAAATAAATATAGAACTATAATACAAATTGTAGTATTTGAGGGTATCAAGTTACACTATTGAAGGTAACTAAGAAACAAAATGTCATTTAGTCTGTAACCGACCAGTAAACAAGTAACAGTAATCTTGCATTTTTATTTCGATATCTCTGGACATACATTACACAAATATAGAATGGCTCATAATTATTTATCACGCAAAATTGTATGCAAAATTTGATCCGTTTTTCTCGAAACATTTCTATGGAGACACTATCTATTTAATATAAGAATAACGTGTTTGAACAGATAGCGTGGCGCGCATGCGTGCTCGAGCAGGAGAACGCGTCCTTACGCGCGCACGTGGCCGCGTTGAGACAGGAGGCGCTCGCGCTGCGTGCGCTGCTAGCCGCGCAGGCGCCGCACGCGTCCATCGCCCACACTGCCCACCCTGTTCCCCCCGCACCCCCGCACACTCAACCCGCTCCCACGTCCACTACAAGCGATTAAAGAAATATTCAAACCCTAAGGACAAGGAATTACATAGAAGCAATGATAAAATAGAAACTGTAAATCATATGGTTGCCTCCTTATCTTAATATGCAAATATAATTAGTAAACAGAGGACGAAAGAAAAGCCTGCTATGAATTGAAAAAAATAGCAACTGATGGTGTGTCTTTCGTCCTCTTTTTACTAATTATATTTGCGTAAGAAGAAAGGATGCAATCATATGATTTACAGTTTTTATTTTATCATTCCTTCTGTGTAATTCCTTATATCTACTATTCGTAAAACTCCAGCTCCGTTCTAGTCATGATTAGTTTTTAAGTGTTTCTATTTGTTAATATTTCTACCAAAGTGTTGCAATATTGCAATTATCTGTCAATTAAAAAAAAAATCATAGTTTCTGATTGATTATTTGCTCTGTGTACGAACTAAAACGTTAATAAATCAATTATATATTTATTAAGTCATAGTGTCATTGAAAAATTTGAATTTTGATAGCAAAAAATGTTTAAAATATTTCAAAGCAAAATATGAAATAAGTGCAAAGTTTTGAGTGGTAGATTTATATGCCTCTTATTGCCTATAACAGCAAACATTACGAATTGTTAATTGTAAAAAAAATTGAGTTATATAGCACGATTACTTCTTAATCGCTAGATGGACTTACTAACAGCGCCACTTGGAGTCAAGTGGCAAAAAATGGAACTTTATATATTAATTATTTAGTGATTAATTATTATGAATTGTAGTTCCTAAATCGCTCTACAGAGGCAGCACCACTGGTCGCTCATTTATTTGCATAAACACAAGATTTTTATTTAAAACTAACAATTCGACCTGGCTTCTCACGAAGAGACAGAATTTTCGAAAATTATTACATATAATAAAAAAAGTTTCAACCAGTTCAACTTATCGGTTATTATATAGCATTTTATATGTGATTCTTTAGATGGATATATATATATATATATATATATATATATATATATATATATATATATATATATATATATATATATATATTATAAACCGTTTAAAATAAAATAAACACTAAACATTAAGTGAAGTAAACCGCAAAGAAAAAAATTCTAAAAATCATTATTTCGGGTTCTATTGCCTTCATAAAGCTCCCCTATAATAGTTTTTCTTATATATCTTTCATGTACAGACAGCAACCAGTTACAATTTTATTATATGTATTGATTTTAATGTATTTGTTGTTCCTTTTTCTATATTTAAATATACTGAATGTTCAACAAGAGTTCTTTGAAATATTTTTTCATAACTACTCTGTACAATAAATGTTTTATTTTGTATCGTAATTGTACATTAATCTTTACGTAATAAAGAATATAATTATAGAATATATTCTATAATAGACCTATCTACGTACACGGTCAACTTATATTTTTTTTTTAATTTAGCCTAATGTATACGTATACCAAAGATTTCGGAATTGATTGTTCTTAGATGCATACCTAACCCTAAGAACAAGGAATTACATAAATGGAATGATAAAATAAAAACTGTGAATCATATGATTGGTTCCTTTCTTCTTATGCAAATATAATTAGTAAAAAGAGTACGAAAGATACATCATCAGTTACTATTATTGCTACGAATTGAGCATATATATATATGCTTAACAAATGTTTGTATATATTAGTTTATATATATATTAGTACGCCACCTACCCTTTGTCTTTTTTTCTTTTCTCAATGTCTGCTACCCAAAGGTTGCCTGGAAGAGATTGCTTAGCGATAAGGCCGCCTTTTGTATCACTTCTCATTAATATTTACTGTATTTAGTATTTTACAAATGGTGCAATAAAGTGTAAAAAATATTATCCGCCCCTAATTCTTTATATATTTGTAGCGTTTTCAAAATAAGGAATTACCCATGTTTCATTATTAAGAATTTACTTATTCCATTTACATGTCGGTAGGGGCCACTCTAGACGGACGTATGTCGACCAAATAGGCGACATGGGGGGGAAGGGATTGTTAGCAATGGAGTATGACAGCCCTATTGCTAGCAATATGGCCTATCAGGTCAACCTCCACGTGATTCCCCCTGGAAACCATCGTGAACAATTCTTGTTGAATTCGTCACGATGGGCTAACTGACCTGCTTCATCCTCATCTATCATCCGTCACTGGTGCCCCGCCGGTGTATACCGATAGCGCGGGTGGGGTAACTATTTCATTATCACCTATAAAAAATAGGCGACGTGCTGAAGAAGGATCAAATTAAAAGCACCCGTAATCGTGTATGAACAGATTGATGAATGTGAAAGAAGCTAAAGAGGCCTGTTTGAATCGAAGCATTTGGCGTTCCATTGTTTCTGCCTACCCTAATGGGAGACAGGCGTGACAGATATGTATGTATGTATGTAAATAAGAATGAATAAAATATTTAGTAAATATTTGTTATTTCGTCGGAATTGTATACGGAATTGTTCTAACGACGTCTATTTAGCGTCATGTCCAGGTTTCATTTTTGGCGCGAAAATAAAAACAATAACAAATGAAAAAAAATACCCAGTTACCAGTTGTAAAGTATTTAACTTTTCTTTTTTTTATAAAAGTAGCCATTTCTTGTGATTTTACTCAAAAGAAACAGTACGTAAAGTGTATACATATTAAGTTTTTTTTTTTATGTGTGAAAATGGAATAGTAACCCCGCCTGCGCTAACGGGATACGCTGGCGGAGCGCCAGTGAAGGGTGATAGATGAGAATGAAAACAGGTCAGTTAGCCCATCATGATGAATTCATTAGGAATTAATCATGATAGTTTCCAGGGGGAACCATGAGCAGGTCGACCTGGTTGGTTATATTGCTAGCAATAGGATTTTTAGTCTCCATTATTAACAATCGCTTTCCCCCCAATACATATTAAGTTAGTAAATAGATATATGTGCTTTTCTTATGTGTATATTATATTTATATTGTGTATTGCCTTAATGTGTTACTATAATTGTCACATATTTTTCACCACATCTGCCCTTCATACGCTTTCTGTTTTTACCCAATGGTTAGCTGGTAGAGAATGCCATATGACATTAAGCTCGCCACTTGTACAAAGTTTTATTGTGCAATAAAGAATAAATAAATAAATAAATATAATTTATTGCATTACTTATAGCACAAGATAGGTTTTTAATACTAATACTACATTGTTATTTTTTGGCTTTTTATAGTAGATACTACACTATAAAATATTATCTATTATTTCTCTATATAACGACATAAAATCACAGATTACAGGATTTAAAATGAAAAAAAAAAAATCAAGAATTTTTTTAATTTTCAAATAAAGAAATTCTACTAGTTTTTATTTCAGAATGGTTTGAAATCAGAGGGAGACTTTGTACAAAAGCCGATTGCTTGGCTACCTCTGTCCCATTCGTGTTTCAACCGTGAAGCAGTTGTGTTCGCATGGCTGTGTTTCGGTTTGAAGGGTGGGATATGGCGTGAATTTACAGGGCACAGAGGAATAACACCTGAGTCCTCAGGAATGGCAACGCATGGGGGGTATCATGGGCGAAACACTACCTACACTCTGTTATGTCCATGGTACTGCTCATGTGTATAGTAGACGGTTACCACTTTCCATCAGGTGGGCCGTCAGCTTGTTTGCCATTCTAAGTTGTATAAAAAAATATATGTTAAATTGCATTCTTCTTTTGTACAATATTTCATTGAAATCCATTCGCCCATTTACATGCAATTAAGTAAGAAACATCGACACATGTTTATAAAATTTCGCATTTATTATAATTAGTAGGATAAACGATACCCAAGTTATTTTAAATTCCGTCCAAGAAATAGTGAGATATTGTGAATTTGTTGCAATAAAAACATAATACGCTTAAGTGAGTACTTAATAATATAAATATACCATATTATATAGGTTTAAATTTGTTTAAATATCTATAATAAACATGTAATGAGAAATTAATAAATGAACTCACCGACTTTTTGTCGTTTCCAACAAATGTTTCTACTTCATCCGAAAGACTTCTTCAGGGGGCGTAAGGCGCTTTACGTCACAGCGTCTGGTGGTTTACCATGAAATGAAATTCCGAAATTTCGGGCTCAATTTCGTGTTTTTGTTTATACCAAAATTGAACCAATAAATGGAGCTTAATATTTGGTTCATCATAAATCCTATCCTAATAGTCCAGAGGAACGATATTTTAACATTTTTAATAATTTTAAACGGCATGTATTAGGTATGTAATTTTAACATCAAATTTCTATTTCGTTCGTCCCCGAAATTTCGGAAATCATTTCATGGTAGGCCTACTGGACTCGCATTGCGGGCCGCAGCTCGCATAGTCTGTAATGAACACAATGACTTTATTAATTTCTCGTACATAATAATCGGCTATAAGAGATTATGTTGGCTAAAACGAAAACAGCTGATACAGATGAATGGTCTAAATCAGACGGCGGATTATTTTCCCATCGAAATGTACCAAAGCCATATAATTGACGATCCTTAGGTTTGACGCCGCGCAATGTATTTGAAATTTTACGATCCACACGACGCGCGATACCTAGACAGCGCGATCAGTGGCGCTTCTTCGTAGGCTGTTTCCTACGCTTGTAGCGTTTACCTTACACAGCTAAAACCGTGCGTCGCGTTATTATTTTAATACGTCTATTTTTTTTTTATGGATGATAATGGAATGGTAACCCCACCTGCGCTATCGGTATACACCGGCGGGGCACCAGTGAACGATGATAAGTGAGGATGAAGTAGGTCAATTAGCCCATCGTGACGAATTCAACAAGAATTGTTCACGATGGTTTCCAGGGGGAAGCACGTGGAGGTGGACCTAATAAGGCATATTGCTAGCAATGGGGCTGTCAAACTCCATTGCTAACAATTCCTTTCCCCGCAATACGTGTATTACATTGCTGTTTTTTGTTATTTTACTATAAAACATTATTATTTCTTTATATTATGAAATAATACCTAATATATAATAGTCCGGAAAGAATTTCGACTAGTTTTCACGTCAGAACAACTGTCTGAATTCACTGTTACAGTTTTTGCCAACCTGTCCCTTACATCCTGTATAGAACTTCGAATAAAAAATTAACACATCGGTTTTAATCATAATATTGTTTAAATATACTTACCTATAGCTTAGTTATATATTAGTTAACATAAAAACATATCAGTTTGTTTTAATTATTTTGAACTGTTTCAAATCTGTGTTCGAAAATAAACTATTTTTTATATTAATTTGCATTTTAATTTAATAATAATATAATAATATTTATTAAATCCAAAAATACATGTTACAATTTTACATTTGTTCCCACTACTTCACACTAGGATCCCCTGTGTCGTGAAGTCTTGGGCCCTCTTCTACTTACAAAAACTTATTAACTAATTTTTTTTTTTTCATCTTCCAAGTTTTGATTCGATCTCGATACGCCATCTTGAAATAGTCTCTTCATTGTTTACTCTGCTTTTTTATGAAGTAAAAATGGTATGGTAACGGTAACTCCGCCTACGCTAACGGGATACACCGGCGGAGCACCAGTGAAGGGTGATAGATGAGAATGAAAACAGGCCAGTGAGCCCATCATGATGAATTCATTAGGAATTAACCATGATAGTTTCCAGGGAGAACCGCGAGGAGGTCGACCTGGTTGGGTATATTGCTAGCAATGGGATTCTCAGTCTCCATTACTAACAATCCCTTTCCCGCCGTTTATTCTGATTTTGAAATCCACGTGATCACCCACAGCGCGAGATTTCAAGTGACACACAAGACAGACAGGAGGTGGGTCACAAATAGAACACCGTGTGACCCACCCCCTGACTGTCCGGCAGAAAATCTACGTTGTCTGTGCTTACCTGAAAAAAAAATCTCTATTCACTTTTAAACTTGGCTATTGCTAAATACGAGAAGTAATGATTAGCATGAAATATGATACGCAACATTATGTACAAATTCAAAACTGGAATGTTTTAATTAATGGGCATCTATAAGTATATTACCAGAGGGAGACTTTGTACACAAGTCTATTACTTGGGTACCTCTGTCCCATTCGTGTTTCAACCGTAAAGCAGTTGTGTCTGCATGGCTGTGTTTCAGTTTGAAGGGTGGGATACCTGATGGAAAGTGGTAACCGTCGCCTATAGACATGAGCAGTACCATGGACATAACAGAGTATACTGTTTCGCCCATGATAACTCCCATGCGTTGCCATTCCAGAGGACTCAGGTGTTATTCCTCTGTACCCTGTAAATTCACGCCATATCCCACCCTTCAAACCGAAACACAGCCGTGCAAACATAGCTGCTTCACGGTAGAAACACGAATGGGATAGAGGTACCCAAGCAATCGACTTTAGTATAAAATCTCCCTCTGGTGAAATAAAGAATAAATACGCCAATATGGCTATCACAGAATATACCCTGTCAGGTTGACCCTCCACATAATCTCCCTGGAAACAATCGTACTGAATTCCAGCTGTATGCATAACGATGAGCTAACTGACTTGCCTTTTCATCCTCACCTATCATCCCTTACTGGTGCCCCGCCAGCGTATACCGTTAGCGCAGGCGGGGTTACCATTCCAAAATCATCCATTTAAAACAAATGTATATAACTACAAATAAATATAAGTACCTATATCACATTATAACAAAAACATCACCACGACCACTACTTACATTATTAAAACCAAATAAAACCGTTTATAAGTCACAAAATTGAATGACCGAATGACAGATCTCTTACTTTTTTTTTCATTAATATTTGTCCCCTGCATAGTTATAATAATGTCATCTTTTTATAATGTAGCTGAAAATTTATTTTATATAAACTATTATTATTATTTAAAAAAAAATTAGATATCTACCAATCTTCATTTAGAGAAAACATTGAAAATCCCTACTCACTTATTTCCCATTGAAATAAGCAAAAACATAAAATAACTGGATATAAATAAATCTGGCAATCACAATTCTAAATCGATTTAAAAAATAATCAAATTTGAATAAAGAATCTGTTTGACATCCAACTGTAGAAAAACGAAATAGAAGTGTGGGAATTGCTGATGAGAAATTTAATTTTTCCATTATATCCCAGATTCTTTACTATATATTTAAATGAAACAGGATCAGCAGTAACATGCTTTTAATATATTTAATTATATTTATATCAGCGGAACTTAATCTGGCTCATAGAGATACAATACCTGTGTTTCTGATCGACTATGAAAGAGTTATGGATCGTCTCTTTATTGATACCAATCCATTCACTAAAACAAGTACGACATACTTTGCGGATATCGTCCACGACGCGATAAAACTAAGCGAAATTGTTATAATATTCGCCGAAGAATTGTTTTGTGCGGAAGATGTTTCGACGAAGGACAAACTGGGCACGCCATACCACCATCTGGGGAAAGGGCTTCAAGAAAACAAAGTCAAGTACATTCCAAACGTAGTGGAACCTTTCAAGTTGCTAAATCAGATTTTTCGCCCGCAGCACAATAATGTGTTCTATTTTAGCTCCGGGACTAAACAGCAAATGTTCGATGGACATTTTAAGTATTTTTATATTTTTTTCCAAGATGGCGCGAACGAAACGCGCGCGGAAACTTTGAGGCGCCATGATTTGATTATAAGGGAAGTTTACTTCGTCGTGCGCCAGTTGGCGCTAGGTCCCGTGGTCGCGTTTTATACCGGGAAAACGAATCCAGTGGTGGTTGAAAAAATTGATTACTCCCCATTCAGGCCATCGCCGACTCGGGCCAACCTCGGTGTTAATATCGAGACGGACGGTGCTTTATTTCGATTCATCGGTAAATATTTTTGATTATATATTTGGGTATTACCAGATGATGATGTACCAAAAGTCGATTGATTGGTACCTCTGTCCCATTTATGTTTCTACCGTGAATCAGTTGTGTTCGCCTGGCTGTGTTTTGGTTTGAAGGGTTGGATATGGCGTGAATTTACAGGGTACAGAGGAATAACAGAGTCCTCAGGAATGGCAACGCATGGGAGGTATCATGGGCGAAACAGTATACTCCGTTATGTCCATGTCATGTCTGTAGGCAACGGTTACCACTTTCCATCAGGTGAGCCGTCAGCTTGTTTGCCATTCTCAAGTTGTATAAAAAAAATATTAGAAGGAAAAATAGAGGGCAATAATTCCATGGAACAGATAAAGAAATAGGTTCATGTCGGATAGGGAGGTTAAAGATATGGCCTGGAATAGAGCTAGTTGGAAGAGAATACATGAATTAGTGGTCACGACTCTTGTCGGAGAACTTTTAAATAAAGATTTAGTTATTACCATGTATAGTCCTAGCATAGAATGGCCCACTTCTTCCTGTCCCATGGATATCGCGAAAGACGACTAAGGGAACTCAATGCTCGAGGGATGGGAAGCAGCGTCCTTCTTAGAAGATCACCGAGGCTTAATTGCGGTTGCCAACCCGCCTATCAAACGTAGCAACTACTGGCAAAACCCCACCAATATGGAGGTGCCTATGTTCAGCAGTGGACTATTAACGACTGATATGGTATATAGTGTTTGGTTATTAAGAGCGTTCATGCTTTTACTTAACAAAGTATGGCAACATCGCAGAGGAGGACTTGTACAAAAGTCGTTTGCCTGGACACCTCTGTTCCATTCGTGTTTTTACCGTGAAGCAGTTGTGTTTGCATGGCTGTGTTTCGGTTTGAAGGGTGGGATATGGCAGTTAATTTACAAGTTACAGAGGTAACACATTAGCCCTCTGGAATGGCAACACATGGGGGGTATCATGGGCGAAACTGTATACTCTGTTATGTACATGGTACTGCTCATGTCTATAGGCGACGGTTACCACTTTCTTTCGGGTAAACCGTCAGCTTATTTGGCATTCTAAGTTGCATAAAGAATCTGTCAATGATCTGATTAATTATCTAAAAAGTGCTGAAACGTTTTAGTTCGTTAGAAGAGCTCTTTTGACTCTTCTGGAAATTTCTCTTCTTGTGACAGAAGTCCACACTGAAACGCCGGTGCGACGCGCCACCTTCAAACAGCTACCGACGGTGACAGAGGAGACGTGGACAAGGGACAAACTGATCACCAATATGGCGTACACCGATTTCGAACTGTCTTTCAATTTTAGCTTCAAGAAGGATGGATGGATATTAGGTAATACATAAACTTTTGGCACAATGTTGTTTTCGCTTGCTCAGTATCGTAAACTAAACTAAATAAAAAAAAAAACAAAATGTAGCATACATATAAAATTACATATTTTATTAATTTTGTAAATAAACACGCAATGTATTTATATGTAATACGGTCGGTCGTGCACGCAGCTTGTTTGTCGTACCTATGCGCGCGCAGGACGCGCAGGCGCTCGGCGCCCACGGGTTGCGCGCGCAGGCCGCGCATGCGTATATCGCAGGAATGTTGTTGTTGGCGCCACGGCACATACATGTCGTCTAAATACTTATACCTTTTTTATGTTTACTATATTATTTCAATTTTAACGATCGTTACTATTGTTCTCCTTCTATACTTGTGTTTATACTTTTTAGTAATTACTGTATTTATAAACATTTACATTCTACAAATACCATCGCTTTAAAAGCAACGAGAATATTCATAGACAATTTTTTTTTTCATTTATTGTGACTTTGGCGAAAGCCATCAGCCAAATATTCATAGACAAAACAAATGGCAAATGCATAATTCGTCGTTTTTTTTAATTTGATATGGTTAACAAGCTGACGGGCGACCTGGCAGTGAATATTTTCGGCTATAGACATGAACAGCGCAATCGTATCAGCGTTCCTTCCCCATTAAGTGATCTCCCTTCAGCAGGCAACAGTACAGCACAATAGATATTAGATATTATAATTCCCATGGTATCTTTCGAGTATCGCAATTTCTGAGAACTAAGATGATACGCCTCTGTTAAAAATGAAGTTAGGTCGGTTGGCCCATCGTGAGGAATTCACTAGGAATTAACAAAGACGGTTTTAGGAGAGAGGTCGACCTAGTAAGGCTATTGACGGCGGATGTATTTACCCTATTTTGCTTGAAAGCGCCGCTAGTTTTTTTTTTTTAATGGATGATAATGGATTAGTAACCCCGCCTGCGCTATCGATATATGCTGGCGGGGCACCAGGGAAAGATGATAGATGAGGATGAAAAGGCAGATCAGTTAGCCCACTGTGACGAATCTAATAATAAATCAATCACGATGGTTTCCAGGGGGAACCACGAGGAGGTCGACCTGTCAGGGTATATTGCTAGCAATGGGGAGCTTTTTTAAATGGATGATAATAGAATAGTAACCCCGCCTGCGCCAACGGTATACGACGGCGGGTCAGTTAGCCTATCGTGATGAATTCACTTGGAATAGAACACGATAGTTTTCAGGGGGAACCGCGAGGAGGTTGACCTGACAGGCTGTATTGCTAACAATAGGTATACTAATCCTCATTTTTAACAATATATTATCCCCCCAGCAGTAGGGACATTTTTTTTATTTTTAATGGGTGATAATGGAATGGTAACCCCATCCGCGCTGTTGGTATACACCGGCGGGACACCAGTGAAGGATGATAGGTGAGGATGAAGTAGGTCAGTTAGACCATCGTTACGAATATAACAAGAATTGTTCACGATGGTTTCCAAGTGGACCACGTGGAGGTCGACCTGATAGGTTATTATAGGGTATTATTATTATTAGTAGGGTATTGCTAGCAATTTCGAACTCCATTGCTAACAATCCCTTTCCCCTCAGCAGTAGGGACTAATCCCCATTACTTCTCCCCCTTCTCTCCCCAAGCGCTGCTAGTTGCAGACTATTATCAACAAAATGTCTCCTCCCCTGGGCTAGGTAGAAACATTATTAATAAGGGAAGTTGGAAAGATATCGCGCCTGCGCAATTGGTATACACTGGTGGGATACAAGTGAGAGATCATAGATACGAATGAATTCAGCTCAGTTTGCCTATTCGTCACGACGAGTTCAACAATAATTAACTAGGATAGTGTCCAAGGAGAACCGCGTGGAGGTCAAACTGAAATAAACCTGAGTCCTCAGGACTGCAGGAGGCAACGCATGGGGGGTATCATGGGCGAAACAGTATACTCTGTTATGTCCATGGTACTGCTCATGTGTATAGGCGACGGTTACCACTTTCCGTCAGGTGGGCTGTCAGCTTGTTTGCCATTCTAAGTTGTATAAAAAAAATTTTAAAGTCGCGGGTAAAAGATGGTATAGGATTAACAAATTCTATTTTTTTAGACTTCTTCAAAATTCTTCCCTCACCTTCATTTTGCCGTCTTCCAATTTAAAATGGGTAATACCTGATATCTATATATCCGGTTCTTCTGGACTTTGATGACCAGCCATTGCGATATCGCCTATACCAGTCGAATATCAATATTCATGACGAGCACGTTATTATTTTCGATATTATATATTGGATAACCGACATGTAATATATCTGTTATTGGGCCAATATATGTATAGATATTGTAACTACGATATATAGATATTGCTATATATTACCGACCCTTACTTCCAGGGGGGAAAGTGATTGTTAGCAATGGAGTTTGACAGCCCCATTGCTAGCAATATACCTTATTATTTCGACCTCCACGTGGTTCCCCCTGGAAACCATCGTGAACAATTCTTGTTGAATTCGTCACGATGGGCTAACTGACGCACTTCATCCTCACCTATCATTCTTCACTGGTGCCCAGTCGGTGTATACCGATAGTGGTGGGGTTACCATTCCATTATCATCCATTTAATTCATGATTTCCTAAATCCAGAGAATGTAGCGCTGCTGGAAGGGGGCGAGGAGGTGGGTCGCACGGAGATGGCGGTGGGGGCGCCGTGGATGTGGGCCTACTACTGTGGAGAGCCGCTGGTCCTCCTTAACACGAGGGACGGCAGCGCAGTCACCATCGGTCAATACAAGGTTAGACTTTGCGTGCCACTTTGAATGGTAAACAAAATAACTGCCCTGCTAGATTTTGTGTGCCACGTAATGCAGAAATCTTAGAGAAAGTAGCAAAGATTAGGTTTTTTTTTATTTAACAGATGATAATGGAATGGTAACCCCGCCCGCGCTGTCGGTATACACTGACGGGGCACCAGTGAAGGATGATAGGTGAGGATGAAGCAGGTTAGTTAGCCCATCGTGACGAATTCAACAAGAATTGTTCACGATGGTTTCCAGGGGGAACCACGTGGAGGTCGATCTGACAGGTTGTATTGCTAACAATAGGTATACTAATCCTCATTTTTAACAATCCATTATCCCTCTAGCAATAATATAATCCCCATTACTGACATTCCCTTCTCCCCCCAAGCGCCGCTAATTGTAGATTCGACGGGGCACCAGTGAGGGGTGATAGGTGAGGATGATGCAATAGGTCAAGTAGACTCCATTACTAACAATCCCTTTCCCCTCGAGAAAGTTAGGTTTGATTTAAGAATTGGGGGATTAAAAAGTAGGTGAGATTGGTATGGTAATCCCGCCTCCTCAATCGGTATACATTATCGGGGCATCATTGAAGAATGATGGTAAAGAAGAAAATATGCCAAATACCAATATGACGAGTCCACAAGAATCGATCACGATAGTTTCCAGAGAAAACGTGTGGAGGTGGACTAGATATGGCATATTGATAGAAACAGGATCTTAGACCCCATTACTGGCAATGCCTTTCCTCTGTCTAATGGTAAATAGTATAGGAACTTTTTTTTTATACAACTTAGAATGGCAAACAAGCTGACGGCCCACCTGATGGAATGTGGTAACCGTCGCCTATAGACATGAGCAGTACCGTGGACATAACAGAGTATACTGTTTCGCCCATGATACCCCCCATGCGTTGCCATTCCTGAGGACTCGGATGTTATTCCTCTGTACCCAGTAATTTCACGCCATATCCCACCCTTCAAACCGAAACATAGCCATGCAGACACAACTGCTTCACGGTAGAAACACGAATAGGACAGAGGTACCCAAGCAATCGAGTTTTGTACAGTCTCCCTCTGGTAAACTATCAGTACAGTGGTTATCACCGAATACATTGGAACTTCTAACTCACGCGTTATCTTAACCCCGCCTGCATTATTTGTTCATACCATTATAGAGGCTATGGGGAAAGCCTATCTTCAGTGATCAGATAGTAGCTGAAATGATGATGATCATCATCATAGACGCATTTAAGAGCCAGATTAGTCATGCCCACTCCACCCCAGGATCAGGAGCGGAGCTTTCAATTGTAGGCAAAGAATTCCTAAGCATTTCTAAGTGGCCAGGCTTATTTAAAGTTATTTTCCAAGTGGGGGAAGGGGAGCTTGGAATTCGCCAATAAAGATAAATTTAATTACAAACATATGTGTAAAGTAGGTACAAAGACATACTGGTTTTATTATTTGATGGGTGAAAATGGAATGGTAACCTCGCCTGCGCTAACGGGATACACTGGCAGAGCACCAGTGAAGGGTGATAGATGAGAATGAAAACAGGCCAGTTAGCCCATCATGATGAATTCATCCGGAATTAACCATGATAGTTTCCAGGGGGAACCGCGTGAAGATCGACCTGGTTGGGTATATTACTAGCAATGGGATTCTCAATCTCAATTACTGACAATCCCTTTCCTCCCAGACATACTGGTTATTCATTCATGCATTTGTACAGATCTAACGTTTTGCTAACACTAGCGTGCAAAATATTTTTCCGTGGACAACGGCAGTTGATTTATGCTTTTTGTCGATTTATGCCTTCCAATGCATATCTATATGCCATTCCTGTGAAAAAAATCAAATAATCATTTTGGTAGCAGTATCCTGAACATGTTTGTAAATAAATTAGATAGTCCTCTAGTATTAGTGCTTTCCCCGAGGACTAGATTATTATATATATATATATATATATATATATATATATATATATATATATATATATATATATATATATATAATAATGTTCTTTATTGCACTTAAACAATATATGCGACGATTAGTTAACCAACTTGTTAGCAAGGGCTTATCTCTGAAAGAGATCTCTTCCAGCCAACCCAGTGTAGTTAGAGGAAAAATAAAAAAAATATTATTGGTGATCAAGTATTAACATAGACGTGGGTCAACCCTTCCCTTCCCGTGAGTGTCGTAAGAGGCGACTAAGGGAGGTTATGGTCGATGGATGGGCAGCAGTGTCCTTCTTAAAATATCAGAAAAGTTAAACTACGGTTTCCAACCTGCCTGCAAAGCGTGAAAACTACTGGCAAAACCCCTATGTGGGGGAGGCTATGTTCAGCAGTGGACAGTTATTGGCTGTTACATTTTTTTTTATACAACTTAGAATGGCAAACAAGCTGACGGCCCACCTGATGGAAAGTGGTAACCGTCGCCTATAGACATGAGCAGTACTATGAACATAACAGAGTAAACTGTTTTGCCCATTATACCCCCCATGCGTTACCATTCCTGAGGACTCTGTACCCTGTAAATTCACGCCATATCCCACCCTTCAAACCGAAACATAGCCATGCAGACACAACTGCTTTACGGTTGAAACACGAATAGGACAGAGGTACCCAAGCTATCGACTTTTAAACAAAGTCTCCCTCTGGTAAAAATAGTTTTGTGTATGCTATCACAAAATAGACTTAAAATTGTCTGTAATATATGAATTAATTGATCAAAAATTTATTTTGCTGGTCTCAGATACAACCCTTCAAATCCAACCTGTGCTACCCTGGTGAAAATTGCTACAAACAAACACCCAGTAGATGGAGCGCTTTGGAGAAACACTCAGAACCAAGAGCTGGCCGTAACGGCGGTAGTGACTACAACGATTCTATAGCGGGTGGGTCCAATTGGGTTAGAGATACTCGGAGAATGAGCGCTAGAGATGATGGAGATAAGAGGGATGATGTTGGAGGCGGAGAGGATGGTGTTGGAGGCGAAGGAGATGGTGTTGGGGCAGATGATGCGCCTCAAAAGGGCAAATGCTTCGGCAAAACCATCAATTGTGGGCCATATTTCAATACACATATTCTGTCTGGACTTTTCGTTGTCGGTATTTGCTTAATAATACTCATGTATGGTATAGTTGCATTATATAATTGCTCCTCCAATGATCGGTTTGATGATCCATACGGACGTACTCTAGTGGTGACATCTGTTGATACACATTGACAATAGAAATAAAGCTTGCAAAATCTATTTTTTTTATTTGTCATATCAGCCTTTGACGGTCCACTGCTGAACACAAGCCTCTCCCTCGGGGGGGTTTTGCCAGTAGTTGCCACACTTAGCAACTGGATTGACTGCAGTTAGGATTTAGAGATGTTTTAAGAGGGACGCTGTTACCCATCCCTCGCCGTCCCTTCCATTAGTCGTCTCTCACAATTATCACATACTACTTCGAATACATTTGCATGTAGTAGGTAGTTTAGTTTTGACAGAGTTTTGTACTGGTAATCACAAGTTATGTTTTTTTTTATACAACTTAGAATGGCAAACAAGCTGACGGCCCACCTGATGGTAAATGGTAACCGTCGCCTATAGACATGAGCAGTACCATGCACATAACAGAATATACTGTTTCGCCCATGATACCCCCTCATGCGTTGCCATTCCTGAGGACTCGGATGTTATTCCTCTGTAACCTGTAAATTCACGCCATATCCCACCCTTCAAACCGAAACACAGCCATGCAAACACAACTGCTTCACGGTTGAAACACGAATGGGACAGAGTTATCCAAGCAAACGACTTTTGTACAGTCTCCCTCTGGTAGGAAAGGTTTTTACACCTATTGCCACCTTCTTTTCCCGTGGGTGTCGTAAGAGGCGACTAAGGGACTACTCACACTTATTCAGCTCTGGTCAGCTTTTGTCCATAGAAAACAACGATTTTGTATGGAGACGTGTACGCATCCATTCAGCTTTCCGCGTCTATTCTGCTTTCGCGGCATTCCAATATAAAATGAGGATAAATGTGTATTTATCATGCGAATGCTATAGAGAGCGTTCAGTGCTGTTCCACCGCGTTCAGCGCTGTTCCGCCGCATTCACCATCGAACGCAACGAAACAGCTCTTCACAGGGATGCTTCGCGTCTCCATGTCGACAAGTTGCGACCTGTATTGTTTCTGCATTGATTTGATTTATCATTGCGTAATCATTATGTACGCAAGGATTAAAGAGTGCAGACGTATTTCATAGTAATTATATTTATTTTTACGAAATGCAGCACATTCGACGCCGTACGCAGTAGACGAGCGTTTCAGCGGAGATAGCACGCTACGACGGCTTTTCTCATTCTTACGACGCCGTACGCGGCTGAGAGAAGCAGAGCTGTATAAGTGTGATCAAAATCGTTCAGCGAAATGCGAATGGAGGTGAATAAGCGTGAGTAGTCCCTATGGGAACCTAATAGTTGAGGCAGAGTATCTCTAAAACATTACCAAAGCCTAACTGCAGTTGCCAGTCCGCATACCAAACATGGCAACTACTTGCATAACCCCCCAATAGTGAGAAACCTAACTTCAGTAATGGGCAGTTATCGGCTGATGTATTGAAGGACAGTCCCTTATGCAGTCTATAGGGAAGGCCTATGTCCAGCAGTGGACGGATATTGCCTGAAATTATGATATTTATGACTCTTGTCTATGGGTTTTTTTTTAATGGATGATAATGGAATGGTAACCCCACCCGCGCTATCGGTATACACTGGCGAGGCACCAGTGATTGATGATAGATGAGAATGAAAGCAGGTCAATTAGCCCATCGTGACGAATTCCACTAGAATTAATCACTATGGTTTCCAGGGGGAACCGCGTGGAGGTCGACCTGATAGGGTATACTACTAGCAATGGGTTCATTAGACCCCATTACTAACAATCCCTTCCCCCCAACTGTCTATGGGGGTTACACTACACTAAGAATTACATAGAAAGAATGGTAAAATAAAAACTGAAAATCGTATGGTTGCCTCCTTTCTTCTTATGCAAATATAATTAGTAAAAAGAGGACGAAAGATACAACATCAGTTGCTATTTTTGAAAATTCATAGCAGGCTAGTGTAAAGAAATATGAAATACAGTTTTATCATTCCTTCGTTGTAATTCCTTGGTCTTAGACACCATATCCACCATCTTTAACATTACTACAACAAACAACCAGAGGCAGACTTTGTACAAAAGTCGTTTGCTTGGGTACCTCTGCCCCATTCGTTATTCAACCGTGAAGCAGTTGTGTTTGCATGGCTGTGTTTCAGTTTGAAGGGTGGGATATGGCGTGAATTTACTGGGTACAGTGGAATAACACCTGAGTCCTCAGGAATTGCAACGCATGAGGGGTATCATGGGCGAAACAGTATACTCTGTTATGTTCATGGTACTGCTCATGTCTATAGGCGACGGTTACCACTTTCCATCGGGTGGGCCGTCAGCTTGTTTGCCATTCTAAGTTGTATAAAAAAAAATACAAAATCAAACACGAGAGAAAGAAAAAAAAAGTTGTTTATATTAATATTTATTTATTTCTTCGATTCGTATTAACGTCTAAATTGTTTATTTACAACATAACAGCTCTATACTACATCTCAGTGGTAATAAACCATCTGAATATTGTCTATTTTTATGTGAAAATAGGCACCATTTTTAATGACGAGTCTTATCTATCAATAATTAGGCCCCGTTCCAAAAAAAAAGTTAGTCGAACACTGGCACGTAGATAATTTTAAACTTTCCCTTTATTTTGCATTTTAAATACACTATAGGAATGTAACCCGATGTGAAATTGCAGGTAAAAAGTGCCTACATACCTGCTTCTTTGTTGTCGACGTTCCGACGTGGATTGCACCGTCGACTAGTGATTACGACGTGGTGCAAACCACGTCGAAACGTCGACAACAAAGAAGCAAGTGAGTAAATACTAGTTATATGCAAAACGAAAATTTTTCACCGCATAGTCCCGATCGTGTATTTAAAATAAGACACATATATGTGATACGAGGGGCGTGGTTTGTAATGGGGACTAGCCGCCCCATTGCTAGCAACGTACATTATTAGACCTCCGCAATTTTCTGGCAGAGCATCGTGGTTGATTGACCTGTCTACCATAGTATACCGATAGCGCAGCCGCGGCTACAGATTCCATTTTCATCCCATTAAAAAAAAGTATTCCAGACTGGTGCAGTGGGAACAGGGCCATAGACTAAAGAGAAATTACACTGTAACTTTTTGTACAACAAATTGGAGTTTTACGAAATGTGCTCAACGTGGAACCATAAGAATAAATATCCAGGTGGAAGCGACAATCTGGATTCAATAACAATGTATGTATACATTGGCACGCAGACGGCTCGCGTCCAACTCGCGTCCTATCGGCCAGGGCTGGCACCGTGAGAAAGCGCGTCGCGGTACATTAGTAAAATTGTTTATTAACCATTTAAGCATAGCGAACGAGACCCTCTCGCGTATCAAATGTGTTCCGATTTACGCTATCCCGAATACCTCTCGCCACTTATAAATATTATGTTTATATTTTTATCTGGAGCGATACCTTCTCACCCGTTTGTATTTCATACAGCTTAGTGTATATTTATTGTATGCTCGTTCGAATTTGGTGCGTGTACCAGTTCGCCAGTTGACCTCGTTTCACAGAAAAACCCTCGCATTAAGTGGTTAAATACGAATGAATCTATGGTATTTCGACCTGTAGATTTTGAGGAACATTGTGAGATTGTCTCGTTCACAAAAATAAATTGTCACTTCTAACCGAACCGTTTATTCTTATGGTAAAACAATGTGTGTACAAATACATACAAGCTCATACAATTGTTATGGAATTTTGAGCTTGAATATAACTAGATATATATGTAAAATCTACACTTATATTTGTCCATCATAACTACTGTGTTTTGCTTGCATTCGGACAATGTGAATGATTCTAACATTTCAAACATCTCTTAGTTGAGATTGTAACAAGTTTTAATTCAAACTACAACCATATAAGGACAAAGAATACAAGATAGAAGTGACACTCCATCAAAATTCAATAATCTTGCGAGGTAAATTAGATTTAGAGACCTTAAACAGTTAAGGTTGGCAACTTCCACATTTTACAGGCAGTAATGCTCGATTATCACATTTATTCTACCATTTGCAATATACGGCATAATTTTCTGGCAACCCTATTCGAAATCCAGTACAACAGTGTCACTTCTAGCTGGATATTCACTCTTATACGAGTCGACCTTTATGGGTACATTTTTTTTTTTATTTGTTGCTTTTTAAATATTAGATATACAAGTCACTTTACAGCTTAGAATAAATATAAATACTATACTTATAATACAAATTAGCGCTTGGGATTATTCAGCAAATATTAGGCCTGCAAATTTTATATATAATATTTTAACACTTATACGTTTTTATATAAAGCACAATTTTATTAACAAACATTATGTTATAATACTCTCTTATAGTTTATTATAATAATAATAATTTATAGTTTATCAAGTCTTACGTTTAACCTTTCACAGAAATTGAAGTAAGGCATGCCAGTGTTGCCATATTACTAGCTTAGTCATAAAAAAGTAAAATCCATAAACAAACCTACTTTTTTTTTACACTGTTCTGTCACTTTCTTTCAAATTGCTAAATTAATATAAAAGAAAAAGACAAAACGTTTCGATAGCCTAAACTAGGTTTATTCGATTTGTTTTTATGAATAAGACGGTCGGATTATTGTTGGATAAAATACTTAAAAAAAAAAATCCATCAGGCACTTGGCTAGGGGATCTAATGGGAATTATTATCACACGTCAATGGCGTAATGAGACATTAAAAATGCTAATGTTAATTGAAATCTGAGCAAGGCTGAAAATCCCATTGAAGATTTTTACTCGAGCGCATTTACCGTTATGGTTTTGCCCTTGGGGTCGTCGAAGCGGTCCATGGTCCTGATGTCCATCATGTTCATGATGCCGTAGAAGGTGATGAGGAGCATGATGAAGACGACGAAGAGACCGGACCATATTGGTGCAGAGAAGAATCCGGAACAGTTGAATGAGTCGCCGAACTCCATCTGGGACGCGTTCAGAGTCGCGAAGAAAGGTTGTACCTGAGAATTGTAAACAAAACAAAATTGATATTTATTGACAACTGTACATTATAATTGTTTCAAAGATGTTCACCTTAATGAATACTTACACAGCCTAAACCTGTACACTCGGGGGGGAAAAGGGATTGTTAGTAAATGGGTCTAATAACCCCATTGCTAGCAATATGCCCTCTCAAGTCGACCTCCACACGGTTCTTTCTAGAAACTTTCACGTTAAATTTTTGTCGAATTCATCATGGTGGCTCAACTGACCTGCATTCATTCTCACGTATCATCTTTCACTAGTGACTCGTCGGTGTATACCAATAGCGCTGTAGTTGGTGTCTACGGTTACCATTCCATTTTCACCCATTAAAAAAAACCCTGTACACTCGGGGATGGGGAGGGAGTGGTGATCAATTCTTGTAATTGTTTGTATTTATAATAGGTTTACTGTTGTAATCTTATGGAGGAAACAATAAGGATAAATAATAATATACCCAACCAGGTCGACCTCCTCGCGGTTCTCCCTGGAAACTATTATGGTTAATTTCTGATGAATTCATCATGATGGGCTAACTGGCCTGTTTTCATTTTCATCTATCACCCTTCACTGGTGCTCCGCCAGCATATCCCATTAGCACAGGCAGGGTTACTATACCATTTTCACCCATCAAAAATTACTCTTTTGTGTATATATTTTTGTACATGTATTTCTTTTATCTCACTTTTTCTGTATATCTATCTATATCTATTGTAATTTGTGTGCTGTAAGTAATGCAAATAAATTATCTATCTATCTATCGTACATACCTTTAAGTTAACAAAACTAACACCCAGCTTGGTGTCGTTCACTGCCCTGAAGGTGATATTCTCCGCGCATCTGTATGAGAAGTTGGAGAGGGCGTACACTTCTGAGGTGAATCCATCGCCGTATACCAGATTGTAATTACCCGGCTCCAGGGTCACCGAGTCTGTGAATGGAAAATGCCAAATAAAAATTTGATCCTGACAGCAATCTTGTATACTACCAAGGGGTCTACCATGATATGAAATTCCAAATTTTCCGACACAATTTCGTCTTTTCGTTAATACCGAAATTGGCCCAGTAAATGACTGACCCAGTAAGCGACCCCGCACGCATGCTAAAGGTAAAGGAGTTAAGGGGCCGCCTGTAAATCAGCGCTATATAGGTACATCTCGCTGGAGCTGTACATATATAGCAACAGCTGAGGCGGCTCCAGCAACCAGCAAAATTGTTATTTTTTCCTTTTATTGTTTATTTTTTTATTTTCTTAATACTGGTAATAAAGGTTATATATCTATCTAAATGGAGCTTAACATTTCGTTTGTTATAAATCCTACAAAATAATTCAAAAGAACCACAATTTAAAATTTTTAAACAGTATGTATTATGTAATTTTAACATCGAATTTGTATTTTGTTCAGTCACAAAATTTCAGAAAACATTTCATGGTAGCATTCCTCTAAATTTGATCTTTGAAAATCTACACTAATATTATGAAAAGGAAAGATTTGTATTTTTCTGTGTATGTATGTTTGTAATGAATAAACTCAAAAACTACTTTGCCGATTTCAAAAAATCTTTCACCATTAGAAAGCTACATTCACCCTGAGTAATATAGGCTATATTTATTGCTAGAAAAGAAAAGGGGTCCTTACTAAAACTTTAATAATATAACTCAAGGTGTAAAAAATACTATAAAATATCTGTCGTCGCGTGCTCTGCGGAAACGATTGGTGATAGAACAAAAGTATGTTCTACAATATTGAAGAAAATATCGATAACTACAAAAAACTATTATCGTTATGTCACAATAATAACTTTTTAAAATGTTGTAAAAATGTCCACCCATGCAAAGGGATGGGCCGCTAGTAGTATATATTTTTTGTTTCATTTTGTTTTTTACCGCCTCTTAAGCATTGTTATAATATTCCAAACCAACAGCCCGTCCCGGCGTTGCACGGGTTTGTTTTTTAATACAACTTAAAATAGCAAATAAGCTGACAGTCCACCTGATGAAAAGTGGTAACCGTCGCCTATACACATGAGCAGTATCATGGACATAACAGAGTATACTGTTTCGCCCATGATACAACATTTTAAACATTTCCCTTCACTGCTCTGCTCCTATTGATCGTAGCGTGATGAAAAGTATACTATAACCTACCTAGGCATATGAAGAATAATAGTACCAAGTTTCGTTAAAATCGATCGAGTAGTTTTTGTTTCTATAACAAACATACAAACAGACAGACAAAAATTTTACTGTTTGCATTTTTGGCATCAGTATCTATCACTATTCACCCCCCCCCCCCCCCAATAGTTATTTTGGAAATATATTTCATGTACAGAATTGACCTCTCTACAGATTTATTATAAGTATAGATTTGAGCACGAAATGTTGGAATTCCATTTTACAGTAGACCCTCTGTTGTCCGAAGCGACCCTGGCTTCCATAAATTATATAACAAGTTAGAGAGAGGGAGGGGGTCAACAAGAATTTGTGTAACAATAGTGGGAAGGGTCCTTAATCCCAAATTCAAAATTAAATATAATTAAATAATTTAAGATGAAGCCACTAGCAGTACATAGATTAAGAATTTATACATGCTATAGCCAAATTGACTGTGTGGTTCTGGCATAGAAGTCTACCTCTTTTTCCCCGTGGGTATCGTAAGAGCTTTAAATACTCACCAAGCAACCAATATCCAGATTTGGATTCAAAATTCAGAGCAATACTAATATTTTCATTTGCGAAACTCAGTGTTGTGCTCATCAAAGTGACATTGCTGTATGCAGTTGAGCTCGCAGTCAACGTGGTTAAATTTTTGAAGCCCCTACTGTCCGAGACCTGGATTGCCTCCACGTACAACCTCAGGCCATCGAAAATGTGATCGTTTCCGTTACTCTGCTGGACTTGACGGCGGACACGCGAATGACTCTCCGGAACGGTCCATGAAGGGTAACGCGCGGTGTACACAGCAATGACGGTATTGTAACGCTCTTGCAGTTTCGTGATCATGTTCTCCAAGAAGTCGTTGTGGCGACGTAGCAGGCTCGCCCTGGACTCGCCATCGCGTGCGTCGTTCAAGTTAATAAACAGGAATCTGCCATTATCAGAATCGATGTCCGCTGACAAACCATTCTCAGTCAATTTCACGTGGTTAACTCTCTCGGGGTCGGCTAGCTTATTCAGCACCCGAAGCGGGTCTTCCACCGACGGCAGATAGTAGGAATCCCCTAGATTGGCATGTAAATACGGGTACGAAGTGTCCCCACCGAGCTCCAAGTCTCTCCGCGAGAAATCCTCCACCGATAGGTTTTCTTCGATAAAAATCACAGTGAACGGGTCGTTCGCAAGCTCCTCTTTGAGGATGCTATCAAATTCACTAGCGCTAATTGTCGATAAAGGATTGGACTTCAAGGAAGTCTTTGGCAAGTCGCCCCAAAGAAAAACAGGCACCTCTGTGCTTAAACTCGACGCAACACTTAGAACTAATGTAAGGAACACTATATGGCAGCGAGCCATTTTATTAACTACACTAATGGACGTTTGTGGAATAAAAATTTTGATTACGGTACCGATTTGTCATAAAATGACGAAAAATGGACGACAAAGATTGACCATCGGTCATGTGCAAAACGATCAGTGCAAAGTTGCTAATACTGAAAACTATTTTACCTCTATCTACATGTCAAAATACCACCAAACTCCTATACGATTTATGGTCAAATTCCTAAGTAATCATATATTTATTCTATTATAAAACAAATAAATTAATTTCATAGCAATTAGTCGACTTCTGTTTGAAATTTTTATTATCAAAATTTTAAAATACATGATGAAAATGGTAAAATGCTAATTATTCATACTCACACCGTAACTTTTAAACGAGTATTGCTTTTAAATTTTTTTCCTAAATATGGGGAAAACTCTGTATGTTGGGAACCCAGATCATATGATATGGTTCGTTTAATCAATTAGTCTATGACTTACATATTGCCATTTTAATAAATTAAAAAAAAAACGAATATTGTGGACTTATGTTAGTTTTTCAGGCTTTATTTTAGTAAGAAATACTGTCACATCGTCATCATCACCATCTTCCTACCCTCATCCCAATTTATTTGGGGTCGACGTAATACGATTTCTATCCATATTACAAAATGATTTGACTTATAATTTTATGACCGGCCGCCTACCTGCCGTCAATCCTCTTTGGGAATTTAAAGGTATAAAGATATGTATCAAATTATAATAATTTTGGCAATTTTTATATAGCTTCAATCTTTTGTAGTTTTAATCTCAGCAGGAAAAATAGCAAGTTGTGAAATATGTTTGTTGCTTAGATTTGGGAGATTATAGGCTGTTACAATAAAAAAAAAAAATTAGACGCCTTTATTCTACTTGGGGTTCAATTTTTAGCGAATTTCAGTTTATTTTATAACACTGACTGCTGAAGAAGCTTTATCCAGCTTCATAATTATTTAACCCTCCACTTGTATCCAGAGTCGTAAAGCATTCATAAAAAAAACATATCCTACTGTAGAGAAAAAAACTTGGATGCATCATGATAATTTTAAGCCTGCTACAGTTGGGACTTCGTTGTTGGAATAATGATTTTCTATAAACCTATGTTACCAAACTACAAAAAAGTCCACCATGGTGAATCATGACCACATTGAATAGGCATCATTTCAAAAACAGCGCTTCACTTACAAGTAATTTTTTTATATAAAATTTTTTTATATGAAAAATGTCATGTCTATAGACGACGGTTACCACTTTCCATCAGGTGGGCCGTCAGCTTGTTTGCCATTCTAAGTAGTATAAAAAAAATGTAACAGCCAATAACTGTCCACTGCTGAACATAGCCTCCCTCACAAAGCGGTTTTGCCAGTAGTTGCCACGCTTTGCAGGCGGATTGGCAACCGCAGTTTAGTTGTATAAAAAATGTGTAATAATAAATATGTTTTAATAAGCATGTATGGAATAGTAAAAAAATATAATTATAATTAATTAATTTACTGTTGTAAATAGCAGGACGCCGTAATAAAACATATATGTATTTGCAATATAAAATAATACATTTAGTGAAAAAACACAAGACACATGAAAAATCTTACACAGAATAAACTTAAAAATAATACATTGTTCTAATAAACCTCAATGTCAACAGCCTCTGTCGAGGTTTTATTTAAATTATTTTTAAAAATAGAATTTATTCATTTTTCTTGTCATGTCAATGAGTATTTTGTTTATTAGAGAAACGTCATTACTTTTTAAAACATCTATTATTGTACTAGGGAACAATATAATATATCTTTATTCAGTATCTTATATTTTTATTGTTTTATCCAACGAACCCTTCACAGTATGTATGGTGAACTTGTAAAATAACTAAAATTGATGAGTATTATTCCTGGCATGGTTCCTACTATTTATCGACATGACCTGAAATTGAATTATAAATAACGATATATTATACAAGTAGGGAGGTATTGTATGTATTTATAATGTATGTATTTATGTAATATTTTAATATTTTATTTAACTATATATTTGTTTATGTATTAATAGTTGTAGCACTTCAGCTGCCCGCTAATGAAATGCTTTCTCACTGTACTGGGTTGACTGGAAGAGATCTCTGTCAGAGATAAGTCCACCCTTGCTCACAACATTTATAAATAGATTATTTTATATGTAACTTACAAGTGCAATAAAGAATATATATATATATATATATATATATATATATATATATATATATATATATATATATATATATATATATATATATATATTACGAAGATAAATAATACTTAAAAATATGTAGGAATAATTAATTAATTATATTTGTAGTATGCAATTTTTGTTAAAATATTACCTATTATGTTTTAATGTGTTTGTAGCATAAGTACATATAAAATTATATATTTTATTAATTTTGTAAAAAAACACGCAACAAGCGTAATTATTTTGTATTTATATGTAATACGGCCGGTCGTGCACGCAGCTTGTTTGTCGTACCTATGCGCGCGCAGGACGCGCAGGCGCTCGGCGCCCACGGGTTGCGCGCGCAGGCCGCGCATGCGTATACAAAGCTCTATTGTTGAAGCATGCTTTTTAGTAATGCTCTTCGCTTATTAAAAATTTGTCTAGATTCACATGGAGCTCAAAGTGCGCAGCAGTATTGTTCTCGAAATTGCGTTCACCACCAAATATACATATATCATATATATAATAATTCAATTATTCCACTTGACAATGAGTTTAAATACTTGGGGATTGAGACTTTGTTTAGAACTTCGCAAAGGTAGACGCAGTGGATTATAAGATCATTCATGCACTCTAAAGCGTTTAACTTAATCATTAAAAAGAGATAAAATTTAAACAACTTTATTTTCTATGTCTCAAAAATCAACAAGGACAGTAGTCATGGAAACTAGAACTAATTTACCGAGATAAGTCACATCACTAACATAGACCAAGTAATAGTATCTATGATCTCAAAAATACCTATCTATTACAGGGATTATATTAGATTCTAAACTCACTGATGTACCTCATTGTAATTTTATTATTGCAAAATCTGAACGTTCACTTAATATTATTAAATGTTTGTGTGGTGTTTGGTGTTTGGTGGGGCAGTCACCCGTATTACTTCAAGCTCATTTACGATTCAATAATTAGAAGCGCATTGGAGTATGAGAAACTTTTGTTGGTACCTGGTAATGGTACGTGGCATTCCAGAAATTAAATAATAGCTAATCTAAAGCTTTACGAAACATTACTGGTCCTATCATTGCCTTGCAAGTTGAATACGTCGAGCCCCCTCTAGAGTTGAAACGTAAATTATTGGCCGATAGATATTTCATCAGATGTTTACAGTTTTCTCATCATACTCTTATACCAAAATTAAATAGATTATCAAATTTAGTCAAATCAGTTCCTCGTTGGAAATATAAGAAACCGTCATAATACCTAAAAAGAAAACTGTCAAATAAAACTTCTATTGAGTAGATAGATATAGATTATAAAACAAATATAGTGTTACAATAGGTATATGTACATATATATATATATATATATATATATATATATATATATATATATATATATATATATATATATATATATATATATATATAATACATAAATAAAATAAAACACTCGTTAAAATCCACAAAAGTATATTTATACAATGGCATTTGATTTACATGACATGAATCTTCTACATGACTTACAGAGTTCACAGATAACACTGTTCGCATATCAAAAGGTATGGTAAAAATTCGACAAGTTTCATCAATTAATATTATGCTAACAGTGTTTATATACAATTATTGTAAAAATTAAAAAAAAATATATTTAAAATGTGTGATTTCTTATTCTAAGGCAAAAATAGTATATACCTGCTGGTCTCCTAGTTTTCAATTTTCATTGTTTACAATGTTTCTACGCTAAAATTTAGGGTTCTTCAAAAGGGGAGTAAAGAGGTTTCTTCAGGGTCGGCAACGCGCGCGTAATATCTCTGGTATTGCAGGCGTTCATAGGCTACGGTAACCGCTTACCATCAGGTGGGCCGTATGCTTGTTTGCCACCTCAGTGATATAAAAAAAAGTTTGTTTTTATGGAAGGCAAAATTTTGTTTTGACTACAGTAAAAGCACTCTAGTATAAATTATTAAAAGACTGGACTGTTCGAGGACTTGCCTAGACTTATTTAGCTAGGATAAGAATTTGAGCGTGGTAACAATGTTTAGTAAAATTTGTAAGCTTTGTAGTTATGACGGATGAATACAGACATTGATTTCAAATAGCTAAAATGAACTTTTTATAAAAATAATTAAGTACCTACTTACAATTCCGTGGCAATAAATTATTCACTAAACTTATTTTGTTCTATTTTCGCAAAAATATTTATATTTGTCTCAATTTCGATACTGAATAAACTGAAATAAACTTTTTTTCATTCCTTCCATTTCATTCAGATAGGTACAAGTAGTGATTTTTTTTTATGAATTATAACAACTGTACTGTACTGTAATTATAACAATTTATAACTGTAATTTTGCTATGAATTGCATCTTACGGGTGTGAAATTTTGGGTTTAAATAAAAAACAGATTAAAGCGACGAAGCGTATTATTTTATTAATCAAAAGATCCATACATCTATTTCGTTTAACACAGCACAAGTAAACGGCCTAATACTAAAAGTAAAAATGTTCAGCTCAAACCAATAGGGATCCTATTAATTTGATCTGAAACAGATGCGATGTGTAATGAACACGAACACCATTTATATTGATTGTATTCATTATGTAATTATACTTGTAACAAAGCAATGTATAACAATATATTGTACACGACACAATATATATACATCTACATCACAAAATATTTATGTTTCCAACATATCACAGGGTCGCGCTGTGCACGTTCGGTTCATTACAACATTGCAATAAATCTAATGTAATGACTAACTATAGGAGAAGGATCACACAGACTCGAGATCCAACGATATACAATTATAAACTAATAATTATATTACAATTTATTTACAAACAAGCAACAATGTAGCTCGTGATGCCCAATTACACTACTTACATATCTAAAGCTCAAGTTCTATACATTTTGATACAATCCAATTTGTTCTATTTTACACATGTATATATATATATATTCACGTACACTTGGTACGTATATTTAGTTTACAAGGAACAAACATTGGACCGGTTCAATATAAGATAGAATTGACAGTGTGTATAAAATGACAATATATCTTCTAGCACTGTTACACAACACAAGTAGTGGACGTAGTCTATGATCGCGTGCGGCCTCGCATCAATTTCAGAACTTTTTGCATGAGAGGCGCTTTCTTGGGTTTGAACGCAGGGGAAGGCGAGGCCGAGGACGAGGCTCGGCCGCTTCCGGCGCGAATTGTGAGCGGTGTGGCCAGGGCTGCCACCCGTGCTGCTGGACTGGCAGCAGCCGCCCGTGCCATGTTCCGAGGTGCTTTCACAACAGTATCACAGTAAACCATCTTTGTTTGTTTAACGGGCGCTTTCTTCGCTTCTTGCGCTTTTTTAATATTCACTGTCAACTTTTTTAATTTATGCTCTTGCTCTTTTTGGCATCGCTGAAATAATAAAAAAATAATATATTTAATTCACCTTGACAAAGTCACTTTTTAGTAACAAATAGAAGTTGCTAGAAATGCTGTACAAAAGGTATTTGAAATCGACTGATTTATATTGTCATGAGCACTTAACATTTGTTTTTAGAGATAGCTGTGACAACTATTAACACTTGCATTTATTTTATAATATGTAATAAAAATGACTTACAATGTACATTTCCCTCCACGTCTCCATCTCGTGTCGTTGTTGTTTCCTGAAGTGCTTCTCGCAGTATTTCTGCCACAACTGGGCAGTGTCCTCCATAAGATATGGATTGAAGTGTTCCAGTACGAAGAGTTGCTGAGGGGTTGCCTTGTCTACGACGGGCTTCAAGAGTTCATATGGCACGCCGCCCGTGTACTTGAGGCCTGGTGACAAATAATTATTTCCATTAGTCTTGTATTTTAATACATTACAAAATAAATGCCACATTGTAACTAATTTATAACTATGTAAGGGGAATAAAAAAAAAAATACATTACCATCAATGTGCTCCTGTAGAAGATGAACACACATCACGTACAGCGTTGGAACTTTTCCCATTACTTTATTACCGGAGTATACTTTAGTTCTGAAATTTTAAAACAATGTTAATAAACATAACTTGGTGCAGTAAAAACCTATCGTTTACAAATATTGTAAATGTGAAAGTGAGTTTGGTTGTATGTATAACTAAAACTCTTTACAAATACTATTAAAACATGAAAATCATATTGGTGAGTACAAAATTCCAAAGCAGACAGCATTAAAATGTGTGAGCACAGATATATTAAAAATATATGAAATCCAACAAAAACAAAACAATAAGAAATGATTTTTACCTTTGGTTTTTAGACGATATTATGGCGCTCATGGCCTCTTCATCAGTGAAATGTGACAGCGGTTTAGGCGGCGGCCTCGGCTTGTAGTTCGGTGATATTTTTGACAAAGCAGAAATTTCGAAAGCAGACAGTGGTGCTAGCTTGGCATTCGGCGCCAGAAGGGCGGCCGGGCCTACATCATTAGTTATTGAATTGGGCGATTGAGTTTCTTTAACAGTTGGGGATTTCTTTTTAGGTTTTGCTGAACTTAACATTCCTAGGGCTTCAGCAAAACTAGCACCTAGAAACCAAGAGAAACAAATATTATGAAACGTATTAAAAAAAAAAAAACAAAACATTGTCTGACTAAATTGTATATTTACGAGGCACTAACCTGAGCTGCAGTCGATGCCGTCTTCACTGTTGTTTACATGATTTGTTTTCTTTGGTACATCTTCTTCTGATGGACTACTGCTCGACTCGCTGCTCCTGTGAGAGGACGAGCTGCTGCTACACTTGTGTTTCTCATGTTTACTTTTATTGTCACCACGTTTAGATCTACTTTCATTCCAGAGTTTTCCACTCTTACTATCCGAGTTTTCTTTTGAGGAGCTGCTTCCATCTCTTGACTTCTCCTTACTAGAGGAACTATGTTTTTCTTTAGAACTACTACTGTTACTCTCTTTTATCTTGTGTTTAATGCTATTTTCTCTCTCTGATAAACTTTTGTGCTTCTCTTTATCAGATCTGTGAGACCGACTTGAACTTCTGTGTTTATCAGATCCACTATCAGCACTTTGTGAAGAAGATCTATGCTTTTCAGAACTACTATGGTGTCTTGTTGATGATTTCTTTTCATCCGTTTGTTTCTTCTCGAGCGAACTGTGGTCCAATTTATGTTTCGCTGTTGTTGCAGAGCTACTTTCATGTGTATTGCTGTGCTTATGTGCGGTGTGAGATTTCTCCTGCGGAGATGACTTCTGAGCGTCATGTTTATTTTTATTTTCATTACTACGTTTCGAATCTTTGTCGGAATTACGTGACTTTTTAGATGTACACTCTTTTTTATCATGTGTGCATTTGTCGTGTGAACGTTTAGAGGATGGCTTCAATTTTACCTCTTCTTCAGACAATTGAGATATTTTAAAATCAGTCTCATCGCCGTTTGAATGCTCTCTGTTAAGATCACTGTCGCTTTTTGGCTCTGATTTTATTTTTACATCACATTTTCCGTTATAATAATCTCCATTAGAGGCAGAGCTTCTCTTCTTCTTTATATCATGTTCTTCATCCTAAAATTATAGTTGGGCATTTTTACTGCTAATATAAATTGTTATAATGCTACCCTAACCGTCTACTAATTAATTAGCAAAATTAAATTGTAATACTAAACTGATTTTGACGAAATTTCTATCGAAACTATCTGAAAGTATATCAAAGTATATGAAAGTAAGTTAAAAAGAAGACCAATGCTAGACAATTAGGATTACGTATTATGATGTAATTTTAACGATACCAACCTCACTGCTTCGATATTTTCTTTTGGTTCCACTATAGTTGCCATTCACTTTTTTATTATACTTTTGGCCATCGTTTTTATAATTGTAATTATGTTTTTCACGTTGATATTCTCCACTTTTACACTCCTCAGCTGCGACCATGCACTTCCATTTATAGACCAGAGCTTGGGAGGCCTCGCCTACATCACCTGGATGTTCCCACAGTGCATTCACTGTACGTCCGACCCCTGTGTCTTGCAGATGTTGGACAGTGACATCAAGGTTGAATAACTTATCAATACATTTTAAAATCTGCAACAATAGTAGTAGAGGAATTTACAAAATTTACAAGTCTAGTCTTGAGCTTCAACTCAAGGGTTCAACAGAACATTGCAAACTAGATTGTGTTTGATTGCAAATAAAGTTATTTACATGAAAAAGCCAAATTGTCAGCTGCCATTCACGTCATGTTACTACATATCTACCAAATAGATACTAATATATAGAACGACTGCTAGGGCAAGACCTCATATACCTACTTAGGTTTACTGTTTTTTTCCTATACAAAGAATATACATATATATTTATTTATTTTATTTATTTACACTTTATTGCACCAAGTAAAAGGAGAAATAACAAATACAGTAAATATTAATGAGAAGTGATACAAAAGGCGGTCGTATCGCTAAGCAATCTCTTCCAGACAACCTTTGGGTAGAGGACATTGAGAAAAAGACAAAGGGCAGGTGGCGCACTATTATATAAATATTATCATATAAAAACATATATACATACATACATACATATATGTATGTACATACATATATAATATATACACAATTAAATATATACATAACATACACATACTTAACAGCACACATACAACAGGAAAAAAAATTACGAAGGAAAACGAAGAGAGAACACAGGAAAATAGTACTAAAGTGAGAGGTAGTAGGATTTAACATATTTCTGTAGGTTATATTTTTAGTTTTGGTGAAATACTATTAAACTAAAATTTGCTAATACAATATACTACAATCGTTGCGCATTTTTAAAAACTTAGTTACATCCCACTACCTACTTCACTTAGTCCTATGTATTTCCAGTTTTATGTGTGTGTTATATATATATATATGTGTATTAGTATGGTACATTTGTATGTATTTATGCGTATATATGTATATGTATGTATATATATATATATTTATATGTGTATGTGTATGTATATATATATATATATGTATATATTTGGATGTATGTGTTTATTTATGTATGTGTATGCTGTCACAGATATTATTTTTTACAGATCTATTTCTTTTAACGCGCCACCTACCTACTTATGCTTTAATTCTTTCTACCCAAAGGTTGTCTGGAAGAGATTGCTTAGCGATAAGACCGCCTTTTGTACTACACTGTACGTATTGAAAATTGTTCAACAAATCATGTTATGTTGGTGCAATAAAGTGTTAAATAAATAAATACTCGTATTGACTCGTGCTCGCTAAATGCGCCGTAGATTATATTATAACAGTGGTCAAGATTGGCAAATTAAGTGAACGGATTTACTTGTGTTTGCACAATAATAATAACGATTATATATGTACAAATGTGAAATGTTTGGACTCATCGTGAACACAATACTCCACTACTATATAGTGGTACAATTATTGCCGGATTTATATTTATTATACATTTTCTACAGGAAAATAACACCAAATGGCTGACAATAAGCAAGCACTTACCTTCTGTTCGTTTTTAGGATATTTCTCTATTGAACGCTGGTAACGTTTCACTAAATCCAAAACTTTCGCCATGGTTATATTGTAACGATACAAACGATATAAACCGTTCACGTTCAAGTTCGCGTTCGCGTTCGCGTTCACGTTCACGTCAACACGCAATGAATGCCGGTTGGTGAATGAGTAGCAGTGTTTTTGCACAAATGTCAATGACGCATTCCTTCCGACGCGTACGCTGTGCCGTTTCGGATACGTACAAATTCGATAAATCGAATTATTAAATCGAACGTCATTTAATATGTCGATTGATTTCCTTTCATGTATATTTAGATAATTAAGTAGTAATATGTCGTTAAGGTTTTTATATATAGAATTAGCGATAAATATCAGAGGATAATAAATAACAGCAATCGAGTGATGTTTCTAGTAGCGAGACAATTTTAGTGTTGTGCGGCGCGTGATAGAGACTGACAAAAGAGTGACCAATCAGCAGATCCGGGCAAGCTTAGGGATTGGCCCTAAGCTTGCCCGGCTCTGCTGATTGGTGTATGAGTCAAGTGCACAAAATCCTCCATGAACATTTGACCGAGGCTAAAAACACCGTCGTGTCGTGATTGGTGCCGAGAAATGTATGAAAGATTTAACGGAGGTGACTCAAATTCTGTGTTCGACGACGGGAGACGAAAGCTGGATTTACTGTTATGATCCCGAAACTAAAAGACAGTCAGCTCAGTGGGTGTTTCCTTCCGAGGAGTTGCCAACTAAAGTGAAGAGAAGTCGAAGCGTGGGAAAAAAGATGGTGGCCTCGTTCTTTGGAAGGACAGGTCATTACGCGACAATTGTATTAGAGGATCGAAAAACAGTCACTGCAGAGTGGTACAGTAACAATTGTTTGCCACGTGTTTTGGAAAAACGTTGTGCGTGAGAAACGACCTCGCAGTAGGATCCTCCTTCACCACGACAACGCTTCGTCGCACACCGCAACACCGCCAGGCAAACGATCGATTATTTGGCGACCTCGGACGTAGAACTACTGGGTCATCCGCCTTATAGCCCCGACCTTGCAATTTTAATTTATTCCGAAAAATAAAAGAAAACGTTTTATAGACACAGAGGAAGCGGTGGCTACGTTTCAGAAGGCCGTCGAAGAGATCCCTAAGGACGAGTGGGCAAGGTGCTTTTCTCTGTAGTTCTATCGGATGCAGCGATGTATTAACATGAATGGACACTATTTTGAAAAAATAAAATAAAGGTAAAAACTTGCTAATTTAATCTGTTCCGACATCCTTTTATCCATTCGTACTAATATATTCCCATTAACTTATTAACAACTCCAATTCAAATTTTCGCGCCGACCGGCGACCTCTGTGTTTGAATGTTAAACGAAAAATAGCTTGTGTCGCTCATACTCTATGGTAAGTGAAAAAAGACTAGAAAATCTATGGAAATTCGCGTGCCTTTTACATGCTAATTGTGAACCTAACCAGTGTTGGTGTGTGGAAAAGGAGTCAAAGCCATAGGGTGCACCCAAGGTGTTCAACTACTCAGCAAGTTAACCCGGTCCGTGAGTCCTACTTTCCCCTTTCTATATCCGTCAATGCATACTCTTCTACTGGATTCTAAGGATTCCTAATATATTTTCTAGGCAGGTGAATAAAATCCCATAGCTTTGCTCCGAAGTTTATCGTCATAATCTACCATAATCAGTTTTTGATTTTCTAAGGACTTTCAGTTTGACCCTCGTACGTGGGACACTCAGCAAGTTTAGCGATACAAAAAAAAAAATGTTCTATAGGTGAATATATTTTCATTAGATCTTTTCAAAGTGCTCTCCACCAGGCTCAACCGTATACAAAGTTTCATGCGTCTGAACCAGTTTTCGAAACACTTTTTCCAGTCCGCCGCAGACACCTCGTTTACAGCTTGTAATAAAAATATATTTACCTATAGAACATTTCTTTTAGTGACGTAAACGTAAATAAATATAAACATGGCTGAAACTGAATCCTAAACTCGATCAAGGAACAGGAGTTCCCATTATAAATTTAGAAAATGGAAATAAATCAGATACTATTGAAAGTTTCTATCTATTCTGTCTGAAAAATCTATTGGGGAATGCTCTCGCTCGGCGGGGAACAGAAGTAGATGGAGACATATTGCGAGGACCTCAATCGCGAAGGAGAGCCTCACCGACGATCCACCGTCATTGTGAAAACCACGACCACTCTCAAGCCGAGAGTGTACGACTGAAGGCAGAGATTGAAAGTTTAAAATCATTGTCCCAAAAACGAGGCGGTATCAGAAGTAGAATAAGAGTTGTTTAATATTATCGATGATTTTTCAAATTTACAAATGAGACAATTATCTCTACGGTTAACACAATTTCAAGAATGCAACTCATCCAACTTGGATAATGTACAGAGTGAGATGGAGCAACTTTCGCAAAACGCAGAGGAACAAATATCTGATCGCGAAATAACCGAAAACGGATTTTATTTTGAATTGGATGCACTTTCAGCAAAAAACAAAAGTAACATATGAGACACGGAATCGGTAGAGTCAGCTTGTTCAATCAAACAAATCAAGTTCGCTCCAAATAAAGCTAGACAGTGCGCAAGACAGTCTATTGTGTGTGTGTGTGTGTGTGTGGTGGTCAGTAGCTGGTCAAGCTGGAGAATGCTACAATAACGTTACCAATTAATGCAACTTTGTTCAAAGCCGTTCAGGCAGCTTTGCTCAAACTACGTTATATACTACATGCGTTGCATATAACGCAGTTTGTAGGCGCAAATGAATAAGTAATTAATTAAAATATAAGTTAGGAATGTTCACTCTAACCAGTACAGAGTGCAGCCGTCACCAACTCAAATCACAGCCGAAGACGAGACGCCGGACGCAGCACGACGCAGCTCGCAACGGAACACGATGCACGACGCGGCCGCAGTGCAGTGTGCAGTGTGCAGTGTGCAGTGGGCATACTGAAATTAGTCAGCAAATACGCTTGAAATACTATATAATTTACTAATTATTCTTTCTATCTACTGTTATTTATATGTATGTATGTATAATAATCTGTATTTACCTGAACTACAATAAATGCAAACAACAAACCAGGTATCGTTAACTTTAAACTGTTAATTGCAAACGTAAACCGTACACGGCTATTAGTTTTATTTTAACTAGCTTATTACCTACCTTTAATTCTTTACAGACGTACTATCGTAATTTTTTCACTTTATCAATACTTATAATACAATCGATTGCTTGAGTACCTCTGTCCCATTCGTGTTTCAACCGTGAAGCAGTTGTGTCTGCATGGCTGTGTTTCGGTTTGAAGGGTGGGATATGGCGTGAATTTACTGGGTACAGAAGAATAACATATGAGTCCTCAGGGATGGCAACGCATGGGGGTATCATGGGCGAAACAGTATACTCTGTTATGTCCATGGTACTGCTCATGTCTATAGACGACGGTTACTACTTTCCATCAGGTGGGCCGTCAGCTTGTTTGCCTTTCTAAGTTGTATAAAAAAAAAAACAACACGAAATTAAATTCCGAAAATTCGGACTCTATTTCGTGTTTTTGTTTATACCAAAATCGGACCAATAAATGGAGTTTAACATTTAGTTCGTCATACATCCTATCATAAAAGTACAAAGAAACAATATTTAAAACATTTTTATTTTTTCAAACAGCATGTATTCGATTTTGTAATTTTAACATCAAATTTGTGTTTCGTTTGGCTCCAAAATTTCGGAGAACATTTCATGGTAGGCCCTCTGTAGGAATCTATGTACTTACCTAACAACACCTACCTGGGGGAAAGGGATCGTTAGTAATGGAGACTGACTGACTGACTATCATCAACATCATCATCATCATCATCTCAGGCATTACATAAATATATATTATAGATAAAAATTAAGTATAGGGAATTGCATTCTTACCCAGCAGATGTCCAACTACCAGGACTCGCGTTCGTATTTGAATGTGACACGTGCGTACGAGACGTGATCGAGTTTCTAGAGCCATTCGAGCGATGAGACGGTGACGGTGACGGTGACGGTGACGGTGACGGTGACAGTGACACCGCCAGCGTTGATGTACAGCTCCGGGATCACGAGGACATTACGGTCAGTCAGGATTTTGTCGGCAGCCGGCGTCGTTGGACCGTGTGGACCGGGAGGCCTCTGCGATCATCTATAAGTATTAAATAATAATTTATATTTCTTTAAGTTTTCTTTTTATGCAGCATAGAATTACAAACAAGCTGACGGCCCGACTGATGGAGAGTAGTGACCCTCGCCTATCATATTGATCATAATGTGCACTATTATATATTCAGTTAGCTGGAATGGCAAACAAGCTAGAAATCGGTTGCCATCCTTTATACCTAGACATGAACTATGGACATCCCTGAATACATTGTGTACATTTTTACATGCATAATTTATATGGTGTCATGAACAGTTCAAACTGTAATGATTTTTATTTTATTTATTTAAGGCAAACAGACAGCTAGAACAATACATAATTACAAACTTAAATAGTAATTTAACAGACACTAAAGTTTGCACCACAAATATAATACAAGTGTAGAAAACACCAAATTAACAATACTAAATTAAAAAAAATAAACAATACTATTGAAAACTACAGCAACATTGTCAATAATAATGCTCAGGTGTTAACAAAACCATACATTTTTTGAGAACAACACATTATTTGAGAACAATACCTGTATAACTATTAAAAAAGTACAATTTAAAAATAAATATGAATAAAAAAAAAAAAAATTAGACTTCTGATTGTATACACTCCTCGCAAAAATTAAGGGAACATAAAAATTTTTGAAATTTTTGGGTGATTTTCAACAGGCTGTATTTCAGTGAAAAATAATCGTACAGGAAATTTAAAAAAAGGGTTTTGAAGCTTGAAAACTCTAGTTTTCAGATTTTTTGGTGAAAAAATTTTTTGAGCTCCGGTTTCCATGCAATTCTTAAACAAAGCTGAAAATAATTTTTTTCTAAATTTTCTAGGTTTCGTTTTTCACTCTATGGGCATGGAAAAATTTTTTCGAGCTACTCCATTGTATAGGTCTCTTAGCGTGTTTATTCAGCTTCAAAAATCGCTTTGGATGGCTCAATTACGACCATTTGTCTCCGAGATATCGAACTTTGAATGCAAAAGCATCCTTTTCCATTCAACTGCTAATATCTCTGGAACTACTGGTCGCACAGCAAGCAAAAATTTTTCTTAAAAATTTTCTTGATTTTTTTCGATTTTTTTTTTTTGATAATGAATTTTTAAAAAACAAAAAATTGAGTAAAAAGTGAAAAACAAATGAAATTATTGATTTTTGAATGGATTAGGGTGAGTTTAAGGGACAAAAACCTTGTTCCCTTATTTTTTCCAAAATTTCAATCAATTGGTCCGGGAAAAACCGTTGAATTTGAAATTGCATGGAAACCGGAGCTCAAAAAATTTTTTCACCAAAAAATCTGAAAACTAGAGTTTTCAAGCTTCAAAACCCTTTTTTAAAATTTCCTGTACGATTATTTTTCACTGAAATACAGCCTGTTGAAAATCACCCAAAAATTTCAAAAATTTTTATGTTTCCTTAATTTTTGCGAGGAGTGTATTAAAGAAAAGTTATACACAAAAGAAATCTCTGACAACAAACCAAAAACATTAATTGCATATTAACACCATAGGGCATATTTTATCTCATTTTTAAACTTTATTTTCCACCCTATAAAGGGATCAATGTCAGAGAACATATTGTTATAGGTACTCAGTGATCTAACAAATGAGGAATTCTTTCTATAATTGGTAGTATGGCAGTAGTGGTACATGTAATATGATATATGAATGATATGGTATTATATAGGAAACTAGGTAGTTTTCTGCTACAAATGATTTATGATTGATTTATAGGATGGTACCCCACCTCTGAATCCTAACCATCTACCACAGAAGGAGTGAGCAGTCTGTATTATATGCCAACAGAGCAGAATAAAAGCAAAAATATACATTTAATATATTAGTCTAAGAACAACGTACAAAATTATTGACAAAATCGAGAGGAGGTCCACCTGTTTGGGTGTAGTACACAACCAGGTCCATCTCCTCGCTGTACCCTCTGGAAACTATCATGATTGATTACTGATGAATTCATCATGATGGGCTAACTGGCCTGTTTTCATTCTCATCTGTCACCCTTCACTGGTGCTCCGCCAGTGTATCCCGTTAGAGCAGGCGGGGTTACCATTCCATTTTTACCCATAAAAAATAAACAACTTATTTCTTCACTATAAATGTCTACCACTAATAACTGTACACTTTTATCACTTTCAGTACTATTATTTACATTTTGTAATACAGGCACCGCTTTCGCTCTACCCTTCAAATAGCATTTCTTCTCAAAATTACTCACTTTTCCACAATATAAGCATGTTTTCCCATACGCTGGACAATTCTTTCTATCATGATTGATATAATCACCGCACACCGCTGACATGATATAAAATTTGTTGTTTTCTTGTTACTATTCACTTGTTCATTATGCAATCTGTTATTTCTACTCCAATTTTTTCTCATATTTTCATTTTTTAATTACACTGATGACTGATTCACCATTTTTCTTTCATTCTTCTTGACTAAATTCATTTCTTGACTGTCTTCTACCTGATTTTCCATTTGTTTAATCTGTTTTTTCGTATTTTCCACAATCTTACACATTTTTATTGCCTTCATGAGATTAGTAGTAGAGTTGGTTTTCCATTAGTAACCTATTTCTTAATTTTGAATCGTTTATTGCTGCAATAATTCTATCTTTGATCATTCTTTCTTTTAGTTCACCGAAGTTGCAGTGTTGCGATAATTTCTGTAGCTCTGTCAAATAGTTGGTATAGAAATCATCTTGTTTTTGATTTCGTGCCTTGAATATGTGACAATTCACATTTTCATTGGTCATAGGTCATCAAAATGTTGTACAAACCTTTCCATTACCGTTTCATAATTGTTTTCTTGTTCTTTCGTTGAGATCAAACGTACTGTGTACGTAATTTCGATACACAATTCTCCCATACAATATGACAATATGGCCACCTGTATGTCTTCAGGCTCATTATTATTACCTGATATTTTTCTAGAAATTTTTAATTTTTCCTTCCATTTTATAAAATCTTCAGCCTCAAGTCTTGTAAGAGGTTCTGGGGGTTTTAAGCCCATCAAACATTCCTCCATATTCAATTATTTTCATTACTTACTTGTTGCTTTATACTATCTGTACGGATTCACAGCACTAATTAAATTATTTTCTTTGTCTTCACACAGCGTCATGTTACGTTTTTATAGTCTTTTAATAATACATTGTTTAATTTATATATTGTAGATGATTTAATCATTGCTGAGACAGCCATTATTATAAAAAAATATTTTTTTTTTAGTACCTTTGTTCCGTTGTGGAACAGGCTAAGGTCGGAGACCATGCTGCCTAGTCTTCAATATGATAATTTGTCTTTTCGTACGGCTCGCCATCGACAAGGAGTGCACCCTCATGTCCTACGGCCTCAATGGTCGCGTACTGCGCGGTTTCAGAGATATTTCCTCCCACAAACACTCAGGTTGTGGAATGAGCTCCCTGCCGAGGTTTTCCCAAGAGACTACAGCATGGGGTTCTTTAAAAGGGGGGTAAAGAGGTTTCATCAGGGACGGCAACGCACGCGTAATACCTCTGGTATTGCAGGTGTTCATAGGCTACGGTAATCACTTACCATCAGGTGGGCCGTATGCTTGCTTGCCACCTCAGTGGTATAAAAAAAATCTACATATAATTTATTAAAAATGTTATACGGCCGTATACCCTACCAAATTCAGATAAAAACGGCTCGCATACTTAAACTGTGTCGAATATATAATCCAGTAAAGTAAAATTTGTCATTGGCAAATAATTGACATATCAAACATTTTCTGTGCACTGGCCTGCTATGAATTGAGAAAAATAGCAATTGATGGTCTATTTTTTATCTTCTTTTTACTAATTATATTTTTATAAGAAGAGAAGTGACAACCATACAATTTACAGTTTTTATTTTTGAGTTTTAGTAAGTGATTATACATTCTTTGGTCTCTCTTTAATCTGTGGTAATTATTCGTTTTGTTTATCTCATAAGTAACCTAACAAAAATATTAACTTCAAAAATCTTGTATTAAATAAAAAAAAATTTTGTTATATAGGTATTGTAACACAAAAAGTTTAAAATACAGATAAATTTGTTATGTTAACACTTTGAATATTAAGAGGTTATGTAAAGAAATTTATTTTTAAATTATATGTGGGTAAGTGACTAAAGAAGATAGTAGTAGTTATACAAATAAAATTTATGAATTTTAATTGTGTGTAAACAATAAAATAAAAATAAGTAGATACAGTTCAAAAGTAGATTCGATAAGTACGTTTCTAAAGTATCATAATTAAAGTAGGCAACCTAGGGTTTACAATTTACAATAAACCTAGAACATGAAAACTATTCTGACTCCAAAGATAAGTAAATAGGTACGTGAATAGTTACTTTTAATAATGGAATGCAATGCTAAGAGAAATACAATCTAAAACTTACGTAGATATATGTAAATTGAAACAATCATGAGCACGTCACTGTAGCTAGTAAATTATACCACTATATTATTACAGGTAATACTTCTTTGTAATATTCTTCTACGACGAATATTTGACAAGTTGTTTATAATTGGGGGAAGGGATTGTTAGTAATGGGGTCTAATGAACCCATTGCTAGTAGTATACCCTATCAGGTCGACCTCCACGCGGTTCCCTCTGGAAACCATCGTGGTTAATTCTAGTGGAATTTGTTACGATGGGCTAACTGACCTGCTTTCATTCTCATCTATCATCACTAACTGGTGCCTCGCCAGTGTATACCGATAGCGCGGGTGGGGTTACCATTCCATTATCACCCATTAAAAAAAAAAGTTGATTATGTTTTTTTCACCAGCAGTATAGGTAGCTCATGATATCCCAATTGATTTTTCACTTGCACAACACTTACATTAATCACGTGGGGGTCACCAAATTGTTTGATACAACATTAATAAATATTCTGGTTGGTGCAGTTATAGTATTTAATACATTTATCAATTAATACATTAATACATATTATTAATACATTCATAATAAATAGATATATTATAATAAGATTTACAGAGCAACAATAAGTCAGTCTTGTAGTAGTAAAGTATAGTGTAACACAAAGGGTGTCACAACTGAGCAATTAAATAAATATAAAGCAGAAAAAAAAAGTGTTTATTTACGACATCACATTAGAAACCTCGAAAATTATCAGTTTTTTTTTTGATGGGTGATAATGGAATGGTAACCCCGCCTTCGCTAACTGGATACGCTGGCGGAGCACCAGTGAAGGATGATAGATGAGAATGAAAACAGGCCAGTTAGCCCATCATGATAAATTCATCAGGAATTAACCATGATAGTTTCCAGGGGGAACCGCGAGGAGGTCGACCTGGTTGGGTATATTGCTAGCAATGGGATTCTCAGTCTCCATTACTAACAATCCCTTTCCCCCATTTGCAGGGTAGTATGGTGACCGTTGCACTGTAGTAATTCACATGTATATATATATAAATAATTAAAATTTTAGGAGATGTAAAGTCAATCTAAACATAAACATTAAAAAAGCACTTACTTTTTAGTAACATATACAAATTTAAGACAAAAAACTGAAGAAAAACTTATATCGCAAATAGTTTCCGAATTAACTAATTATGATTAATATTTAATTTTGTTTACTACATGCAACAATTATTAACTCACATGTGTCTATTTCTATTTATATATTTAGTCTCATAAAGACTGTGCATAATTTTCCTTTTTAGTTATTTCTAATTGTGATTACAATAAAATTTCTTGATAATTTTATAATGCACAAATAGTTTCCGACGCGACTGTATGTTCATATTAGTGTAATTATATGTTTATAATATATGAATATATATTAAATATTACATTTTGTATTCCTTCAATTCAATAATGCACCACCAACTTATATCTCTGTTTGCCCAATGGTTGTCTGGTAGAGAACACTATCATGTAACAAAAAATTCAAACTAAACCAGCGAGTTGTATTCTCATACTTTTCACTATGTCTTTCAGTTCAAATATGACTACCGGCAAATCACAAGGTGAGATCTTACATGTCTCCCACAACACCGACCAGCAGGTGGCTCCACGATATGAAGAGCGTCCAGACTGCAGCACAGTGATGAGAACTACACAGGAACAATTGATTAAACAAGATAATATTCAGCATGCCGTAGACGAAGCGGGAATTGTAAAGACAGAGTATGTTGATGTCACAGAGGAATTGGATAGTGATCATATAATATTCCGTGACCAGGAGAATGATCTCCTAGAGCTGTATGAGGGTCATGAAGTAAAGAATGAGTTGGTTATAGGACCCACAGTTGTACAAACAGGGATCATCTTTGGAACTAGTAAACATTTAGAACCTGATTCTGAACAACATCTGTTGATACATACTAGTGATAAGCCATATATTTGTGATGTGTGTAATAAATGTTTTAAAACAAAGTCAAAATTAAAAAATCATTTATTGATACATATTGGCGATAAGCCACATAGTTGTGATGTATGTAATAAATGTTTTAGAACAAACTCACAATTAAAAAAGCATGTATTAATACACACTGGTGAAAAACCATATAGCTGTGATGTATGTTGTAAATACTTTAGAACAAATTCAGATTTAAAAATTCATTTTTTGATACATACTGGTGAAAAGCCATACAGTTGTGGTGTATGCAATAAATGTTTTAGAAGAAACTCGGAATTAAAAAAGCATTTATTTATACACACTGGTGAAAAGCCATATAATTGTAATGTATGTAATAGATGTTTTAAACAAAAATTACATTTAAACCAACATCTGTTGATACATACTGGTGATAAACCACATAATTGTGATGTATGTAATAAATGCTTTAGAAGAAACTCAGAGTTAAAAAAGCATTTATTTATACACACTGGTGAAAAACCATATAGCTGTGATGTATGTAATAAATGCTATAGAACAAACTCAGATTTAAAAAATCATTTATTGATACATACTGGTGAAAAGCCATATAGTTGTGATATATGCAATAAATGTTTTAGCAAAAAATTACAATTAAACCAACATCTGTTGATACATACTAGTGATAAACCACATAATTGTGATGTATGTAATAAATGTTTTAGCGGAAAAGTACATTTAAAGAGACATCTGTTGATACATACTGGTGAAAAGCCATATAGCTGTGATGTTTGTAATAAATGTTTTAGAACAAACTCACAATTAAAAAAGCATTTATTTATACACACTGATGAAAAGCCCTACAGTTGTGATGTATGCAATAAATGTTTTAGAACAAACTCACAATTAAAAAATCATTTATTGATACACACTGGTGAAAAACCATATAGCTGTGATGTATGTAATAAATGCTTTAGAACAAACACAGATTTAAAAAATCATTTATTTATACACACTGGTGAAAAGCCATACAGTTGTGATGTATGCAATAAGTGTTTTAATCGAAAAACAAATTTAAATCAACATCTGTTGATACATATTGGTGATAAACCATATAGTTGTGATGTATGTAATAAATGTTTTAACCAAAGATCAACTTTAACACAGCATCTGTTGATACATACTGGTGAAAAGCCATATAACTGTGATGTATGTAGTAAATGTTTTAGAATATACTCAGATTTAAAAAAGCATTTATTTATACATACTGGTGAAAAACCATACAATTGTGATGTATGCAATAAATGTTTTACCCGAAAAACAAATTTAAACCAACATCTGTTGACACATGTTGATAATAAACCACATTGTGCGATGCCGTTGCCCCCGAGAGTCTGAAGGCGCGTCAGCACCAGGGAGCTCTGGTACGCCCAGACGTCGACGTAAATAAATAATAAAACAATTTCGTATTAATTTTTCTTTTTATTAAAACTCAGTGTTATATTTTATTCATTTACTTAATATAAGAAGCTTATTTATTTTCTACACAATGTGTAGTTGCCCATTTTAAGTAAACTTTAACAGTACATACTTTAAAATGACGAAAATGTTATATTCAGTACTGCCACCTTGTAGCTTTAGTAGATCACCATTTTTTAAAACGGTCACACTGATGGGACATCACTAGAGGTGGTTTGTTGACACTGATTGTTTGATTTATAGTTTTGTATAATAATGTGTGTCTTAACAATGATTAAATCATCTACAATATATAAATTAAACAATGTATTATTAAAAGACTATAAAAACGTAACATGACGCTGTGTGAAGACAAAGAAAAATAATTTAATTAGTGCTGTGAATCCGTACAGATAGTATAAAGCAACAAGTAATGTAAAGTAATGAAAATAATTGAATATGGAGGAATGTTTGATGGGCTTAAAACCCCCAGAACCTCTTACAAGACTTGAGGCTGAAGATTTTATAAAATGGAAGGAAAAATTAAAAATTTCTAGAAAAATATCAGGTAATAATAATGAGCCTGAAGACATACAGGTGGCCATATTGTCATATTGTATGGGAGAATTGTGTATCGAAATTACGTACACAGTACGTTTGATCTCAACGAAAGAACAAGAAAACAATTATGAAACGGTAATGGAAAGGTTTGTACAACATTTTGATGACCTATGACCAATGAAAATGTGAATTGTCACATATTCAAGGCACGAAATCAAAAACAAGATGATTTCTATACCAACTATTTGACAGAGCTACAGAAATTATCGCAACACTGCAACTTCGGTGAACTAAAAGAAAGAATGATCAAAGATAGAATTATTGCAGCAATAAACGATTCAAAATTAAGAAATAGGTTACTAATGGAAAACCAACTCTACTACTAATCTCATGAAGGCAATAAAAATGTGTAAGATTGTGGAAAATACGAAAAAACAGATTAAACAAATGGAAAATCAGGTAGAAGACAGTCAAGAAATGAATTTAGTCAAGAAGAATGAAAGAAAAATGGTGAATCAGTCATCAGTGTAATTAAAAAATGAAAATATGAGAAAAAATTGGAGTAGAAATAACAGATTGCATAATGAACAAGTGAATAGTAACAAGAAAACAACAAATTTTATATCATGTCAGCGGTGTGCGGTGATTATATCAATCATGATAGAAAGAATTGTCCAGCGTATGGGAAAACATGCTTATATTGTGGAAAAGTGAGTAATTTTGAGAAGAAATGCTATTTGAAGGGTAGAGCGAAAGCGGTGCCTGTATTACAAAATGTAAATAATAGTACTGAAAGTGATAAAAGTGTACAGTTATTAGTGGTAGACATTTATAGTGAAGAAATAAGTTGTTTATTTTTTATGGGTAAAAATGGAATGGTAACCCCGCCTGCTCTAACGGGATACACTGGCGGAGCACCAGTGAAGGGTGACAGATGAGAATGAAAACAGGCCAGTTAGCCCATCATGATGAATTCATCAGTAATCAATCATGATAGTTTCCAGAGGGTACAGCGAGGAGATGGACCTGGTTGTGTACTACACCCAAACAGGTGGACCTCCTCTCGATTTTGTCAATAATTTTGTACGTTGTTCTTAGACTAATATATTAAATGTATATTTTTGCTTTTATTCTGCTCTGTTGGCATATAATACAGACTGCTCACTCCTTCTGTGGTAGATGGTTAGGATTCAGAGGTGGGGTACCATCCTATAAATCAATCATAAATCATTTGTAGCAGAAAACTACCTAGTTTCCTATATAATACCATATCATTCATATATCATATTACATGTACCACTACTGCCATACTACCAATTATAGAAAGAATTCCTCATTTGTTAGATCACTGAGTACCTATAACAATATGTTCTCTGACATTGATCCCTTTATAGGGTGGAAAATAAAGTTTAAAAATGAGATAAAATATGCCCTATGGTGTTAATATGCAATTAATGTTTTTGGTTTGTTGTCAGAGATTTCTTTTGTGTATAACTTTTCTTTAATACACTCCTCGCAAAAATTAAGGAAACATAAAAATTTTTGAAATTTTTGGGTGATTTTCAACAGGCTGTATTTCAGTGAAAAATAATCGTACAGGAAATTTTAAAAAAGGGTTTTGAAGCTTGAAAACTCTAGTTTTCAGATTTTTTGGTGAAAAAATTTTTTGAGCTCCGGTTTCCATGCAATTTCAAATTCAACGGTTTTTCCCGGACCAATTGATTGAAATTTTGGAAAAAATAAGGGAACAAGGTTTTTGTCCCTTAAACTCACCCTAATCCATTCAAAAATCAATAATTTCATTTGTTTTTCACTTTTTACTCAATTTTTTGTTTTTTAAAAATTCATTATCAAAAAAAAAATCGAAAAAAATCAAGAAAATTTTTAAGAAAAATTTTTGCTTGCTGTGCGACCAGTAGTTCCAGAGATATTAGCAGTTGAATGGAAAAGGATGCTTTTGCATTCAAAGTTCGATATCTCGGAGACAAATGGTCGTAATTGAGCCATCCAAAGCGATTTTTGAAGCTGAATAAACACGCTAAGAGACCTATACAATGGAGTAGCTCGAAAAATTTTTCCATGCCCATAGAGTGAAAAACGAAACCTAGAAAATTTAGAAAAAAATTATTTTCAGCTTTGTTTAAGAATTGCATGGAAACCGGAGCTCAAAAAATTTTTTCACCAAAAAATCTGAAAACTAGAGTTTTCAAGCTTCAAAACCCTTTTTTTAAATTTCCTGTACGATTATTTTTCACTGAAATACAGCCTGTTGAAAATCACCCAAAAATTTCAAAAATTTTTATGTTCCCTTAATTTTTGCGAGGAGTGTATACAATCAGAAGTCTAATTTTTTTTTTTTATTCATATTTATTTTTAAATTGTACTTTTTTAATAGTTATACAGGTATTGTTCTCAAATAATGTGTTGTTCTCAAAAAATGTATGGTTTTGTTAACACCTGAGCATTATTATTGACAATGTTGCTGTAGTTTTCAATAGTATTGTTTATTTTTTTTAATTTAGTATTGTTAATTTGGTGTTTTCTACACTTGTATTATATTTGTGGTGCAAACTTTAGTGTCTGTTAAATTACTATTTAAGTTTGTAATTATGTATTGTTCTAGCTGTCTGTTTGCCTTAAATAAATAAAATAAAAATCATTACAGTTTGAACTGTTCATGACACCATATAAATTATGCATGTAAAAATGTACACAATGTATTCAGGGATGTCCATAGTTCATGTCTAGGTATAAAGGATGGCAACCGATTTCTAGCTTGTTTGCCATTCCAGCTAACTGAATATATAATAGTGCACATTATGATCAATATGATAGGCGAGGGTCACTACTCTCCATCAGTCGGGCCGTCAGCTTGTTTGTAATTCTATGCTGCATAAAAAGAAAACTTAAAGAAATATAAATTATTATTTAATACTTATAGATGATCGCAGAGGCCTCCCGGTCCACACGGTCCAACGACGCCGGCTGCCGACAAAATCCTGACTGACCGTAATGTCCTCGTGATCCCGGAGCTGTACATCAACGCTGGCGGTGTCACTGTCACCGTCACCGTCACCGTCACCGTCACCGTCACCGTCTCATCGCTCGAATGGCTCTAGAAACTCGATCACGTCTCGTACGCACGTGTCACATTCAAATACGAACGCGAGTCCTGGTAGTTGGACATCTGCTGGGTAAGAATGCAATTCCCTATACTTAATTTTTATCTATAATATATATTTATGTAATGCCTGAGATGATGATGATGATGATGTTGATGATAGTCAGTCAGTCAGTCTCCATTACTAACGATCCCTTTCCCCCAGGTAGGTGTTGTTAGGTAAGTACATAGATTCCTACAGAGGGCCTACCATGAAATGTTCTCCGAAATTTTGGAGCCAAACGAAACACAAATTTGATGTTAAAATTACAAAATCGAATACATGCTGTTTGAAAAAATAAAAATGTTTTAAATATTGTTTCTTTGTACTTTTATGATAGGATGTATGACGAACTAAATGTTAAACTCCATTTATTGGTCCGATTTTGGTATAAACAAAAACACGAAATAGAGTCCGAATTTTCGGAATTTAATTTCGTGTTGTTTTTTTTTTTTATACAACTTAGAATGGCAAACAAGCTGACGGCCCACCTGATGGAAAGTAGTAACCGTCGTCTATAGACATGAGCAGTACCATGGACATAACAGAGTATACTGTTTCGCCCATGATACCCCCATGCGTTGCCATCCCTGAGGACTCATATGTTATTCTTCTGTACCCAGTAAATTCACGCCATATCCCACCCTTCAAACCGAAACACAGCCATGCAGACACAACTGCTTCACGGTTGAAACACGAATGGGACAGAGGTACTCAAGCAATCGATTGTATTATAAGTATTGATAAAGTGAAAAAATTACGATAGTACGTCTGTAAAGAATTAAAGGTAGGTAATAAGCTAGTTAAAATAAAACTAATAGCCGTGTACGGTTTACGTTTGTAGTTAACGATACCTGGTTTGTTGTTTGCATTTATTGTAGTTCAGGTAAATACAGATTATTATACATACATACATATAAATAACAGTAGATAGAAAGAATAATTAGTAAATTATATAGTATTTCAAGCGTATTTGCTGACTAATTTCAGTATGCCCACTGCACACTGCACACTGCACACTGCACTGCGGCCGCGTCGTGCATCGTGTTCCGTTGCGAGCTGCGTCGTGCTGCGTCCGGCGTCTCGTCTTCGGCTGTGATTTGAGTTGGTGACGGCTGCACTCTGTACTGGTTAGAGTGAACATTCCTAACTTATATTTTAATTAATTACTTATTCATTTGCGCCTACAAACTGCGTTATATGCAACGCATGTAGTATATAACGTAGTTTGAGCAAAGCTGCCTGAACGGCTTTGAACAAAGTTGCATTAATTGGTAACGTTATTGTAGCATT